GATCCCTGGCGTGTCTAGGCAGGATTGGGAATGCCCCCATCTGAAATCCTGGAGAACTTCTGCCAGTCAGAGTAGTCTATATTAAGCTAGATGGGCCATTGTCTCAGTATAAGGCAGCTTCCTGTATAACTATGATATGTGCTCTTGTAATTTCCAGTCTGTCAACAGAAAGTTCTAGGACTTCTTATATTCAGCCCAGCTGTGTTTGCTTCATTGCACAACTGACTTGCCATTAATTCCTTGTTTAATTATGCTTAGCGGAATTTTGACTTTTGCCCTGTAGTTTTAATTGTTGGATGCAGCAAAACACACACGTTTTCTTTCCTGCTTCCTTCTGCCTTTTTGTGGATGCAGAAAGCAGCTGGGCTAGTTCCATGTGACTGCAAATAATTAAGAGCACGTCAAAACACACCAATTAATCTCAAGGAAGAATCTTGGCGGCTGTTGTGTTTATGGGGCATCCCCCTCCCTCCCGTATCCATTTCTAAGCTGCCCTGCATCCCATTTAATCTAGTTATTTTTCCTTTTACTGAAGATGTTCCTTGCACAAACACATGGAGTCTCTTGTTTTAAATGCATGGCACTTCATCATGGTTTTGCAATGGTTTGGAGCAAATAATGTTGTTCTGTAGATGCTGGATCCTATGCTAATTAGAGGACAAATGGCCTGCACTGGAATAGCAAGAAGTCTGTGTTAGGGGGAAAAAATATTATTAAAGAATGTTGTCTCTTTCTTGTAGAGAAAAGGCAAAAACAGGCTTACCGTAAATAGCAGGCAAGAAAACAGTAAGCTATCCTAAACTTTCCCCTCTTGCCTACTTTTCTAAAAGTCCAAAACTGAGCACAAAATTTCACCTAAGGTTGGTCCGAACAGAACTACATCATCACATCAGCAATGATTATGGCCTTTGTTGCAATAACTTAATGCAATGCATGCACATAGTTTAGTTAGGACCACACCATATGCATAGAACGTTGCTTTAAACCGAGTGAGAGTATTGGTCCATCTGTCTAGTTAGACTAGATTCCTCCTTTCTTGTTCCAGCTGGCATTGGGAACTGAGTACTTTTAAAGAAGTGGCTGGTGTTGTGCTGTTTTTATTGTAACGATTTGTGTGGCTTTAACAGAATTTCACATGTGCAATTATATGTGTATATAAATATATAGTTTTAATTCTATTAATGTTTAATTTTTTAAAGATTGTTCCTCCCCCCCCCACGTTTTTTAGCTGTTCTTATTTTTATTTGTAAGCCACCTTGAGTCCATTTTGATGGCAGTATATAAATAAATATATAATCATAATAAAAATGTATATAAAATAGCTTTAAAAAGTTTGATGCAAATTTGATTTCCTTCAGAGGCAACCTGTAACCTACAGAGGCTGAAGAGAGCAGGGGAAGATCAAATGACTGAAGTAAGCATGGGACGTGGGTGGCGCTGTGGTCTAAACCACTGAGCCTCTTGGGCTTGCAGATCAGAAGGTCGGCTGTTCAAATCCCCGCGACGGGGTGAGCTCCCATTGCTCTGTCCCAACTTCTGCCAACCTAGCAGTTCAAAAGCTTGCCAGTGCAAGTAAATAAATAGATACTGCTGCGGTGGGAAGGTAAATGGCGTTTCCGTGTGCTCTGGTTTCTGTCACGGTGTTCCATTGTGCCAGAAGCGGTTTAGTCATGCTGGCCATATGACCCAGAAAGCTGTCTGTGGACAAATGCTGGCTCACTTGGCCTGGAAACAAGATGAGTGTCGCAATCCCATAGTTGTCTTTGACTGGACTTAACCTTCCTTTTTTTTTTTAAATGATATTTATTAAAGTTTCACAAAAATACAGAAAACAAAGAAAAAAGTATAAATTACAGCAAAAAAGCAAAAAGTAAGAAAAAACATACAAAATAAAACAGTTAAAAACACACTAATGTTCCATAACCTATCTTCCTTACTCTTATTTCCCCAGACCTCCTCATACCTCCCTTCTTTGTATTCCAATTCAGTTTGTTGGTTCAGCAAATCCTTACCATTAATCTTTTACCCAATTGTTAACCTTTTTTTTCCCCATGTCTCTTAAAGCATTACAGCTAAAAACCTCTTAATTTCTATCCAACATCCTTCTGAAGTTCCTTAATTTTACAATATTTCTGTAAATAGTCCTTAAATTTTTTCCAGTCTTCTTTCACCGACTCTTCTCCCTGGTCTCGGATTCTGCCAGTCATTTCCGCCAATTCCATGTAGTCAATCACCTTCATCTGCCATTCTTCCAAAGTGGGTAGATCTTGTGTCTTCCAATACTTTGCGATAAGTATTCTTGCTGCTGTTGTAGCATACATGAAAAAGGTTCTGTCCTTCTTTGGCACCAGTTGGCCGACAATGCCCAAGAGAAAGGCCTCTGGTTTCTTCAGAAAGGTATATTTAAATACCTTTTTCAGTTCATTATATATCATTTCCCAGAAAGCCTTAATCTTTGGGCACGTCCACCAAAGGTGAAAGAATGTACCTTCAGTTTCTTTACATTTCCAACATTTATTATCGGGCAAATGATAAATTTTTGCAAGCTTGACTGGGGTCATGTACCACCTGTATATCATTTTCATAATATTCTCTCTTAAGGCATTATATGCCGTAAACTTCATACCTGTGGTCCATAACTGTTCCCAGTCAGCGAACATAATATTATGTCCAACATCTTGTGCCCATTTAATCATAGCAGATTTCACCGTTTCATCCTGCGTATTCCATTTCAACAGCAAGTTATACATTCTTGACAAATTTTTAGTTTTGGGTTCTAACAATTCTGTTTCTAATTTTGACTTTTCCACTTGGAAGCCTATTTTCTTATCCAAATTATATGCCTCCATTATCTGATAGTAGTGGAGCCAATCTCTCACTTTATTTTTTAATTTTTCAAAACTCTGCAGTCTCAATTTATCTCCTTCTTGCTCCAAAATTTCCCAATATGTCGGCCATTTGGCCTCCATATTGAGCCTTTTCAGAGCTTTTGCTTCCATTGGTGACAGCCACCTTGGGGTTTTATTTTCCAATAAGTCTTTGTATCTTATCCAGACATTAAACAATGCTTTCCTAACAATATGATTTTTAAATGCTTTGTGTGCTTTGACCTTATCATACCATAAGTATGCATGCCATCCAAATACATTGTTAAAACCTTCTAAATCCAAAATGTCTGTATTTTCAAGAAGTAGCCATTCTTTCAGCCAGCAGAAAGCTGCTGATTCATAATAAAGTTTAAGGTCTGGCAGGGCAAATCCACCTCTTTCCTTGGCGTCAGTTAATATCTTAAATTTTATTCTGGGCTTCTTGCCCTGCCAGACAAATCTAGAAATATCTCTCTGCCACTTCTTGAAACAGTCCATCTTATCTACAATTTGTAATGTCTGAAACAAAAACAACATTCTAGGCAATACATTCATCTTTATCACAGCAATACGGCCCAGCAACGAGAGTTTCAAATTTGACCAAATTTCTAAATCTTTTTCACTTCCGTCCAACATTTTTCGTAATTATCTTTAAATAAGTTCCCATTTTTGGCTGTCATATTAATCCCCAAGTATTTCACTTTCTTTACCACATTCAATCCTGTCTCATTCTGAAACCTCTCTCTTTCAATCGGTGTTAAGTTTTTCTCTAAAACCTTAGTTTTTAACTTGTTCAATTTAAAACCTGCCACCTGACCAAATTCCTGAATTAATTCTAAAACTCTTTTAGTACTAGATTCTGGCTCCTGTAACGTCAATACTAGGTCATCTGCAAATGCTCTCAGTTTATACTGTTTATCTCCGACCTGTATGCCCTTAACCAACCGGTCCTTTCTAATCATATTTAGCAAAACCTCCAGGACCGATATAAAAAGCAGTGGGGAAATTGGGCACCCCTGTCGTGTCCCGTTTTCTATGGTGAATTATTCCGGAACCACATTATTTACAATTAATTTAGCCTTTTGTTCAGAGTATATTGCACCTATACCATTTTCAAAACCTTGGCCTACCCCCATCCCATGCAGATTCTTCTTCATAAAACTCCAAGAGATATTATCAAAAGCTTTCTCCGCGTCAACAAATATCAATACTGCTTTGGTGTTTATATTCACTTCTAATTTTTCCAAAATATCAATTATATTCCTCAAATTATCAGACAGGTGTCTTCCCGGGAGAAAGCCCGCTTGGTCTTTATGAATCTCTTTCATCAATATTTTTTTCAATCTCTTGGCCAAAATGTCTGCAAAAATTTTGTAATCCACATTAAGTAACGATATAGGGCGATAGTTCTTAAGCTGAGTCTTTTCAGTCTCTGTTTTCGGTATAAGTGTGATGTACGCCTCTTTCCACGATTCTTAACCTTCCAGGGGTCCTTTACCCGGGGTTTTTTTTACCTTTCACCTCACCGCAAACATGATGATGGCATTCTCCCATATTATCTGACAGAGGCCATGTTTGAGTCCACGGAATGTCCACTGCTGCCTGAGCAAAACACAGAGGATCAGGGCCATAGTCATTTTGTTTGTAGCCCAGTGTACTAACACACCCGAGCCAGATATCATTTCTAGTTGGGAATGTGGAGAAACTGCTCCAATAACTAAACACCAGCTGGGCCTGGAAGTCCTGGAAGCACATCCTTGAGACTCTTGCTCCTCTCTCCATAAGCCAGAAAGGTAAGGGAGCATGACAGTAATTGAATGCATAGAGAGGCTGGAGTAGAATAACTATGTCAAATGCCGCCACTGTTGACGTATTGGGCACCTTTGCAATTTGGCTCAGGTTGCAACACAGACAGGCGGCGTGTCCCCCTCCTTGGAAGTGTTGGCTGCAGAGTTTTAAATGCATAATTAATGTGGCAATGAAGCACACGCTATCTATACTATTAAAATTTATCGTGGTATTACTTGCAAAAATGAATTCCTAACAAGTTGTGGCCTGAGCTGTAAAAAAATTAAAGGTTTTTTCCACCCCTTCCCTGCAACTGGCTCTATAATAGAAAGCACTGTGTAATTTATCTCAATATTATTTTATTAGCACTTTTTAATTGCTCTGGCAGATAAGTAGCAGTGGCTATTATCTTAGCAAAACATTTGTATTAATAATGTCACATCAGTTGCGGGGATTGCTGTAGAATATTTCACCCATATTAACAGTCGCTTCGAGACTCAAAGCCTATTTTTCCTGCATGACAAGTATTAAAGAGAGGGCTGTAATAATATGCCTTTGCTGTCAGGCTTCCTTGACAGAAATAATACACATTTATCAAGTGTCTCTGCAAAAAAATAAAATAAAAATGCATGTACATTACAAATTCCCAAATTATCAGATTCTTTTTTTTCCTCAGTCATAATTTATATCCCTGATTGACACGATCATTTAACATGGAACAAATCGCCATAAGGAGGCTTTTCCTTGGCATTCTTAGGTGGTCAAACCTATTTTACAACCTTTCCCCTTTCATTACATAGATTTGGATACAGATACTGTACAGTAATAGATGGTGTGCTGGCATTCAGCTGCAGCCACAATTTAGTATTGATGATGATGATGATATTTGATTCGTTCTTTCTCCCTTTGTGTATGCATTTGTGTATACAGTGGTACCTCAGGTTACATACGCTTCAGGTTACAGACTCCTCTAACCTAGAAATAGTGCTTCAGGTTAAGAACTTTGCTTCAGGATGAGAACAGAAATTGTGCTCCGGCGGCACAGCAGCAGCAGTAGGCCCCATTAGCTAAAGTGGTGCTTCAGGTTAAGCACAGTTTCAGGTTAAGTACGGACCTCCGGAACAAATTAAGTACTTAACCTGAGGTACCACTGTATTTCTACTAGAGGGTGATGTGGGGGGGCAGTGCTCACCTGACCTCCGGTCAGTTACACTACTACTGCTTACTGCGAGGGAGTTGGAGAGAGGGGAGGTGGCAGTGCGGTTGACATGGTGCCAACCATGTTTGGTTTAACAATCCTTCTCCCCAGGGAAGGAGCCAGCAGTGATGGAGGGGGAGATGATGGTGTTGGATGAACAGATCTGGTCTATTTTATGTTCTCTGTTCATAGGAGTAATCCTAAATTAGCTTTTACCTGATTGTTTTTATTGCTATTATGGATATTTAACCTTGCTTGGGGAGGGGCTATATTATACCACTGTTTTACTGTATTTTATTATATTTTATTGCTTTCTAATTTTTGTTGTTAGCTTGGTAGAAAATCAAGATGCAAATTTAACCAATACAGTAAGCAAATAAATAAATGGGGGGAAAATATTTTTATTTAGTACTAACATATCCAGCAACTTCTAGAAAATCACAGCTTTCCCTCTGGCATGGGTGCTAATCCTGAACTATTTCTTGGGCTTTAGACTGCAGGGGTTTTTCCTTACAATACTGAAATTCATAGCAGAATATTCCTGGGCAAGTGCACATTCTAACTGGAATACCGCTACCGAGCTCTGAACATAAAATTGTGAGGCTCAGATTCAAAATCACATTGGACCACAAAGCAGTTTAGAGGCTGGATATTTCTTCTAACTGTGGATTAGCCATTGTTGCTTTAAAGCAGAGTTGAGGAACCTACGGCCCACCAGATGCTGTTGAAGTCCAACACCTACCAGCCCCAGTCAGCATGGCCAATGGTCAGGGATGGATGGGAGATGTAGTCCCAACATCTGGTGGGCCACAGGGTGATCAGCCCTGCTTCAGAGTATCAACTCCGGGGTGTGGGGCAGGATTTGTGGAAGTCCTCCCAATGGAATGAACAAGCAAAGAGAAAGAACAGATAGGCATAGCAAGTGACATTAAGGAGACTTTATACAAATAATTGCACTGGAAAGTGAAGAGTGGTTCTTTCACAAGATAATGAGACAGGAACATGCATAAATGCATTATTTATATTGAACATATGATTGGTAGAGCAGTTATGTTCTACTCTGCAACCTCAATCCAATGATCTAATTTGTCACTGCTGTTCCAATGCTATTTCAGATGCTATATATTCTGTTGCATGGTGTCTTTTTTCAGGGAACAGTGAAATTTGTTATAAGATAGACAAACTCAGGTTGCACTTCTGCAGGACTCTTGGCACAAGGCCTAATCACTGCAGGAGAGAGTCAGAGATTAAACACGCAAGCACCATTTCTGGGCAAAGCAATTACCATTGGGGGGAAAGCTCTCATTGGTGCCACTGGAAGCCTTTTTCGCCCTAGGGCTAATGGCTACATCTCTGAGGCTGGAGCTAGACAGAGCTACCATCAGAAACAGGCTGCCATTTTTCTCCTTCCCTGTCCCTGCGCAATGTTTAGGGATAGTGTACACATAATGCAACATCACTGCGTTGTGACTTTCCACATTCACATGGAGGTGTGTGTGTGTTATAGAATGGATAGGAAAACCAGCACATGTGGAGCATCAGAGGACAAAGGTGCCAGTGCCAGGCTTTTGGGTAGGAATAGGATGCCTTTAGTAAGCCCACTTTTCCTGCAGTCGCTGCTGCTCATTTGCTTGCCAGACCTTTGGACCGCCCAATTGGCATGGTTGCTCAGAGCAAAAGGGCAAGGCAAGTGGAAGCTTCTACCTTCCTGTCATTGCTCACTTCCATAGTGTGTGTGACAACAAAAAAGATGAAGAGGAGCAGGTCAGGGAGCTCCATGGATTAGCAATGATTGTTGAGTTGTGGACCTCAGCAGGCACACAAGGATGAACCCCCACACTGGTCCTGTGAAACATTATGGAGAAGGAGTGGGAGGGATGAGAGCTGAAATTTTGGCCCTCATCTGTTGTTGTATCTAGTTTTTGCCTTGGATATAACAAATCCTTCAGGTTTCACTTCTAGTTTCACCTGAAGGAGCGTCTCCACCCCCACTGTTCAGTCCAGACACTGAGGTCCAGCTCCAAGTGCCTTCTGGTGTTTCCCTCACTGCAAGAAGTGAGGTTACAGGGGAACCAGGCAGAGGGCCTTCTCAGCAGTGGCGCCCACCCTGAGGAATGGCCTCTTATCAGATGTCAAGAACAACACAACTTTTAGAAGACATCTGAAGGCAACCCTATATTGGGAAGTTTTTAATGTTTGACATTTTACTAAGTTTTTATATGTGCTGGAAGCTGCCCAGAGTGGCTGGGGAAACCCAGTCAGATGGGCAGGGTATAAATATTATTATTATTATTGCTTGTGAAAGCAAATTACATAGCTTAACTATGTGTGGTGTGAAGAAGCACTTTTTATCATTGTCCTGTGGAAAGGTGGGCAGCCAGCATGCTTTCAAACACAGAAGCAAAGGGAATGCTGAGCCTGACTCAAAGCTAAAGCTGACAAACATTACAGCCCACTTCACAAAACTTGACTCATTCACATCCAGACACATCCATCACATTAGAAAAGAGAGGCAAAATTATGGTTAATAAAGGAAGGCACTTGTGTGTGCTTTGAATTTTTAGAACAAAGTTTATTAGTGGTCCACTGAAATTAACAGCAACTCTCAAGTAGGTTATTTAGGGGAAATGTTTCAGAACTGCTGTCTGAATATTTGACATGGAAGCTGGAATAGTAAATACAGGAAGAAGGAAGGACAAGGCAAACAAAAGAAGGAAGCAATACAAAAGTGGTGATTGCGGGTAGGAAGAGATGGCAGAGAGATGGTAAGAATAACCAACACTTCCTGAAGATACAAGAAGAATGGGATCATTTAACACCAGTCCTAAAATACCTACATTGACTCCCAGTACATTTCCGAGCTCAATTCAAAGTGTTGGTGCTGACCTTTAAAGTCCTAAATGGCCTCAGCCCAGTATACCTGAAGGGGCATCTGCACCCCCATCGTTCAGCCTGAACACTGAGGTCCAGCTCCAAGGGCCTTCTGGTGGCTCCCTCATTGAGGGAACTGAAGTTACAGGAAACCAGGAAGAGGACCTTCTTGGTAATGGTGCCCACCTTTTGGAACGGGCTCCTGTCAGATGTCAAAGCGATAAACAATTATGTGATATTCCGTAGACATCTGAAGGCAACCCTGTATCAGGAAGCTTTTAATGTTTGATGTTTTGTTGTGTTCTTTTATATTCTGTTGGATGTGTGGGATACAATAGGGTTTAGCAGCTCTAGACCTACAGCCTGAGGCAAACAAGAGCTGTACAAGAGATGAATAGGAACCTCTTGGGCACCTCCTATACGTCTGAGAAAGATGGATGGCTTCCTGATGGATTCTGCTCTTGTTATTTTAATCCAGGCATAGGCAAACGCAGCCCTCCAGATGCTTTGGGACTACAATTCCCATCATCTCTGACCACTGGTCCTGCTAGCTAGGGATCATGGGAGTTGTAGGCCAAAAAGGTCTGGAGGACCAAGTTTGCCTATGCCTGTTTTAATCCAAGTCTTTCTGAAGAGGTTTCTGTTGACTCAAAGGATGCCGAATATCCATTAGATAGTACAATTTGTCTGAGGTGTTGATCTTACAGTTTAGAGTCAAGTTGACATAAGCAATGGACTAAACTCTGAATGGAGGAATCGGATCAATGTCTGGTTCCACTATAACAATATGGGATTTACTTTTCCTCTGCTGAAGATTTGCTCCCGATTGCCACAACACATCCATATGAGAGTTAATTTGGTCCCTGTGAAAAGAATTTCCATTGGATAGTACAGTTCATCTGAGGTGTCGACAGTCAAGTTGGCATAAGCAATGGACTTTATGGACAATAAGGGTCAATGACTGGTTCAGGTGTAATAATGTGGCGTTTACGTTTCTGCTGCTGAAGATGCGCTCCCGATTCCCGTAACAGATCCATGTAAGAGTTAATGTGGTCCCTGTAATCAGAATTTCTTTGTCAGACTCCTGCAAAAGGTTTAGCACTGAAACATTTGCTTTTCTCCCCTACAGCCCCAGGCAAACCCTCAAAATCTCCTCCAGAGGGTTGTGGGACCCTCTAGAGCACATTTTGTAAGTGCAGGAGGAAAGGAGAGGAAGTGGAAGTCCCATGGCATGAGTGCAGCACTGTTCATGCAGTGTTGGATACAACCCGTGATCTGCATAAGACTAACCCACGCTCATTGGTCCATCTACCTCAGTACTGTCAAGACTGACTGGCTGCAATTTTCTGGGGGTTTCAGACTGGCGCCTTGCCCTGACCCACCTGGAGACGCCGAGGATTGAACCTTGGCTCTTTTGCATCCGAAGCACATGCTCTACCATTGAGCTACGTTCCTTTCCTTTGTACCTGCACAAGTCTAGAGTAAATGGAATGGCTTGAGCCTGTGGGATAGCTCAGTTTGTAGAGAATGAGACTCTTAAGCTAAGGGTCGTGGGTTGGAGCCCCACCTTGGGCAAAAAGATTCCTTGCATTGCAGAGGGTTAGACTAGATGACTCTTGTGGTCCTTTCCAACTCTATCTATCGATCTATCTATCAATCTATCATCTACATATCTATCTATATATCAATCTATCATTTATATCTATCATCTATCTATCTATCTACCATCTATCTATCAAGTCTAAGGAACACACAGAGAGAATTGTAAGCTGGCTCACCTAGGCCAATGATGTTAGCAGTAACTCACAAACGATGCAAATTTCTTTCAGGCATTTTATATCCTGCCTTTGAATTTAAGATGCACTTCACTGAATGCAGTAGGTTCAGAGATTCCTTCACACAGACTGAATTTCACACACATGCAAATTACCTGGCTTTATCGGTATCAAATGCGACAGATCCCAAATCCATGTAGTACTGTGCTGACGTCCTCAGCGATGTCCAGTATTCGCTGGCCTGGTGAGAACAGATGATTAACGCCAGAAGCAACAACCCACCCTCAGGAATCAGATTCCCCCCCCCCTCCAGGAATGGGAAAGCATTTAAAGGCCCCCTCCCACAACTTTGCTGCTACAATCAATTCACAGCCTGCTCTGCCCTCAAGTGTGTTTCCCTGGGGGGGGGGGGATAACCCAACACTCAACAGAAACACTGGATTACATGGCAGAATTGTCATTCACTTCACTCACCCACCCACACCCATATTAGCATAGCAATGCTAAAGTACTTGCATTCTTAATGTAACCAACCCTTTCTCAACCACGATACCTCATGCATTATGGATACTGTCCCTTTGCCCATTAACAATAAGACCCAGAGTTGTGAGATCCAGATCTCAAACAATATTAACGGACAAACTAAAAACCCACGTATGAGAGTGTCGAACAGACAAGAAAATCAGTACCTCTCACTCCACCTGGTATAGTTTCATTATATATGTAACATCAATAGAACATGGTTTTAAACCTCCCAGAACTCGTGGCAATTTGTGGAATAATACCTTTGTTTAAAAACTGAAATGACTTAAAAGTTAAATGTAATTAAATAGAGGTTAGGTGCTTTGGGGGGGTGGCATTTGGGGGCATTCACAATGTGAATAATGGACACACATGATTTGAGGGGGAAAGGTGGTGAGATCCTGCTGTCAGGTTTCATCCCTGACCTACTGTGTTCATTAGATTCTGTCTGTAAAGGTCTGCTATGTCTGCATAAACCTGGGAGCCCTTGACAGGCATTCTAACAAGCTGAGGGGGGATACTTCTCCCCCAGACCTATTCACATTTGACACCCACATTTCTGAACTCCTAAAAAGGGCTACTGTTGCAGATTTTTTTAGACAGAGAAATCCACGCAGACCCACACCACCCATCAAATCTGCAAGTGAGCAATGCAAATCCTCTGCCCCCCCCCCAACCACAATGACCTTCTCTCAAAGCTCCACCATGAAATCTTAGAAAATTGTGACTACCTGTTCTGCCATGGTCATACCCCAGCCATTCTGGGGGCTAGCTGGATCCCAATAGCCTGAAAAAAGTGCTTGTCTCCTAAGTCCTAAGAACTCATTGGCTTCTTCCTCGGAGACAAATGGTAGTCCCCAAACCCCTGAAATGACAAAGGCACATCAATCACAGTCATGGATTAACAGAACGTGCAGATTTCATACATATGGGCAGGAATTTAACATGGCGTCATGGTGATCATTCCATCAGCAAAAGTTGTCAGCTGTCCAGATACAAGAATCCCCCCTCTTCCCCCCTCCCACATGATGGGAATTGTAGTCCAAAAACAGCCGGAGACCCACGTTTGGGAAGCACTGCACTAGAGGGACTAGTTAGCTGAATCTCTCCCATGATTAATGCACTGATTAATACTCTACATTAACGAAGCAGTTAGATTAGATTTCACAGTGATGTTTTAACATCAAACTTTGAAAAGCCAAGGCACTGAAAACCAGCACATTAAAGTGCACTAAGGGCAAATCACTGCAATGGAGTTGAGCGATTTAAACTGCCTGGATAGGTTCCAATGTGAATCTGCACGAAGGGCTTGCCCAAACATCCGCTCGTCCCATGCCCAGAAATCACAGCTCCGAGGGGCTTTCTGCTCAACCTGTGCTTTCCAGGCGAGGGTCCAAGCAGTTTTCCTCCTGCCCCACCCGTTTCCCAGGGGAAACCCACTCTTTAGTGCTAAATCGGAGCAAACGTTAATCCAGAGAAAACTCGGAATTGCTGCTTGCTCCAATTGAGCGCTTAAGAGCAGTTTTCCAGTCAGGGGAAAGCAGCAGCAACAAGGGGAGGTGTTGGTTAAGGCACATGTATCCATACGCAACGTATGTGTTCTGATACCAACACATGTAGAATTTTGCTCCCACTTATTTGTTTTTACCTACTCCATGTAACCCCAGGAGCATAGCAGGAAGCGAAGTCAACTGAATGAAGATGCTCTGCAGGATCTGTGCTGTGGGTTTATGGAGATCCTAAGCCCATATCCACCCCCACCCCCCCACCCCCCCACCCTTTGACTACTTCAAACTGCAGAACTGGCTCTGTCACAGGTGCTACACAATACTTGCTCCACACTTGTAAGAAATCGGTATTTTAGCGTGGCAGCATCTGTCCTTTGGAACTCCCTGCCTATTGATATCAGACCAGCATCTTCACTGTACTCTTTCCTGCATCTGCTTGTTCAGGCATGTCTATCCATGCGTTCTCTTCCTTTTTAGCCGCTGTTGACTTTAATTGTCTTTTGTATATTTTTAAATACCTGTTTTTATTGATAATTTTTAATGTTGTATGTTAGGTTTCTGTAAAATGCTCAGAGGCTTTCTCACAATCAAGCTGTATATACGTTCTGTGAAGCAAATAAACAAAACAATGGACCCAGGTCCAAGTATAATAATAATAAAAAAAATTTTTATTTATATCCCGCCCTCCCCGGCCAGCGCCGGGATCAGGGCGGCTAACATCAATAAATTTTCAGTAAAAACATAATAAGGAAAAAAAATACAGGTTAAAATGCAATTTAAAATGCAGAGAGGAAGAAAAACTTTTCTGTGTCCACTTTCTCCACGCCCGTGTGTCCCCTTATTTGCCTCGTTTCTAAGCTAAACAGCCACAAGTGTTGTATGCTTCCTCACAGAGACGTTCCTCCAGACCCTTGACCATTTGGCTTGCCCTGTTCTGCTCCTTTTCCAACATTTGAGGAGCTGCACCCAGACCTGTACCCAGGGCTCCAAGTGCAGCTGCACCACCAATTTCTATAAGAGAGTCATGACTTTGGCATGCTGTGTCTCGAAGGTGGTGGACTCTTCATCTTTACAGATTCTTAAGCAGAAGCTGGATGTCTACCTGGCAGGAATGCTAAAGCAGCAGATGTCCTGAATCACTGGGTGGATGAGGCTGTATTAGGCTTTTAAGAACCCTTCCCAACACTACCGTTCTAATGTTACTAAGTGCAACATACAAAAGAGCTCAGCAACACTTCTTCATTCTGACCACAGAAGTATTTCAATTAAAAGATAATGCTTCGCCAGCATTACAGGATGCCACATGAAAATGAAATCTGCTTTTAAGTTCCTCTACGGCTCTTTTTCTACATGCTCTCTTATACTCTCTCACGGAAAGTGAATCCGGAGGACTGAAGGGCGCACCCAGAGAAGTTTTTAATGTTTGGTTTTTTTATCGTGTTTTTAATATTCTGTTGAGAGCCCCCAGAGCAGCTGGGGAAACCCAGCCAGACGGGCAGGGTACAAATAATAAATTATTATTATTATTATTATTATTTGCTTAACTGTGAATTCCTTCACCGAACTTTGTCTATTCTTTTCAATCCACAACTAGGGTTGATTAATCATTTCGATGCCAGAGCCTAAAAGCTTACCTGTGAGCAATACAACGCATGTAGCAACTTGAAGCACGGAGGCAGACATGGTGTATATTCTTCGACCTTTCCAGCAGAGTATATAACCCTCAAACCCAGGTATTTTATGTACTCGAGAGCCCCTTCGCTTTATCAATCATTTACTATGTCCATCGGAAGAGTTCTGCAGGCAGAGGGCAGGGTCCACTGTTGCATTGACATGTTTCCCCGACCTCTTTCTAACCTTTGGACTTTTTACATGGAAGTTTTGATATAACTCAGACGTGTCCCCTTCCCCCTCCCCCTCCCGAACTTACCCACTAAATGTTGAGTACCAGCAATATCAAATATGCTCCATTTTGGGGGCTGCATTATGAACTGGTGAAGTTACCTTATACTGCAAAAGTCCTGTCTATGGTTTGGGGCATGCACTTAAGACCACTAAATAATCAAATATTCCGCGTATGTCCAATAAGATCTTCAACTGTGAGTTCAGTTCCCCAAAGCCTGCCAGAATGAAGCTGTGTTCCTCTGCAGCAAGGAGAGAGCCAGTCTAGCCTCCCTGTTTAGGGGAGTTTTTGATGTTTGATGCCTTATTGTGTTTATATTGGGAGCCGCCCAGTGGCTGGGGAAACCCAGCCAGATGGGTGGGGTACAAATAATAAATTATTATTATCCCTAACAAGAGAGTTCCAAAATCCGGGAGCACTGCAGCCACCAAGGAAGCAGAATTTTTGGACTTAAAAAAAAAAAATGCAAATGCTTTTAAGTTGCTTGTTTGGAAATTGTTTCTGCTTATCGTGTTGTGCTTTTAAATCACGTATCTGTACGCCGCTCGGGGCTCCTTGCAGAGCGACGGTGGGATATAAAATTCCACAAATAAACAAACACGCCAGGACATTTGCTTTGTACATCCGCTGCTTCTCATGGACCTCAAACAGGTGAATGCAGAGATAGAAAGACTGAATACCATCTCTCTCTCTTTTTTCCTTCCATTTTGGTATATTCATATATATGTAACTTCGGATTCTTCCTTTGATTTGGGGGTTGCAGTTCCTGCAGGAGAAGGCTAGGAAAGGTCCCCCCACCCCCCGTGGAAGGAAAGCTCAGAAAGAGCAGGTAGGGAAAAACGCTCTTGGGCTCAGGTGCCGCTTGCGCCCTTTCCAAGCGCATCTGCTTGGTCCGCGTGAAAACAAGGATGATGGACCACCTTGGCCGTTGGCCTGAACCAACTGGGCTCTTCTGTTAGGCTAGGCTGGCTCCTCCTTAGCCCGGAGCCAGCCCGCCCCCCCCCGGGGCGTTTTCCGTGCTTTAGCCTCCTGCAACCTCCTTGGCTTTTCCCGATCGCCTTCAGCTTTATCACAAGGTGGTCTTAGCCGGAAGGGCGTCGCCACCCTCCTCCTTCCTAACCCCCAAGTCTCGCCTTGGGCCCTAGAGGTGCGTCGTCGCACGCTGGCCACAAGGGGGCGCCCTGCGACTGCGTCTGGACCCGTGCGCTCCAGGCCCCGCGGCGATGGCCGACGCTGCGCGTTACAGCGCTCTTTGCAGGGCAGGGTTGAGGCTAGAGTACCTGTATGCAAACTCGTAAGTGGAGCGACCTTTGCTTTTCCAGTTTCGTTTTATGCAGGCCAAATGCATTAGCTGTTGGCTTCACCAAGGCATGGGCAGGAGGGGGGCGGGCAGCTGCAAAGGAATTTTGCATTTCCTATAGCGGGACAAGCTTCTAAAAAATAGGTCCAAATTTGGAGGGGTTTGCTTTTTTGAAAACCAAAAAGGAAGAGTGAAAAAACTCTCTAAAAGGGTAGAGGAGATCATTTGGAAAGGCCTCCGCCTTTCCCAGGTGGGATGCGTGTTCCAAATGGCAGGAATGACATGTATTTTTTGGCATTAAAACTTGTTCCATTGTGAAATGAGGGCTGGGTCAAGGAAAAGTAAAAGGAAAGCACACTTAAAAATAATAATGAGGCAACGCCAACTTGATGCTCCAAAAATGAAAAGCATAGGTGGCGTACTGTGCCCTGGAGACTTTGGCTAAATTCAGTCTTTGTTTTATAAATGCTCTGTGCAAAGCATTTTGAGCACTTAGAAGAACAGGGAAGAGAGTTGTCTTCTTCATGAGCAAGAATCACCTTACTATCTTACCCCTCTGTTTTATTACAGCCAGTGCTTTTTTTCTGGGGGGGACGCATACCCCTAAACATTTTGTGAATCTAAGTTTGGCCTCATTGAGGGGCAGCATTTCAATATGAGTAGGAAAATGAGAGTACCCCTACACATTTTTTTTAAAGAAAAAAAACAACAACCAGTGATTACTGTACATCTAAATGTTCTGGAAACAGCATATCAAGTCAGAGCACTAGTCTACCTAGCTCAGCATTTAACACATTGCCCGGCAGCACCTGTGTAGGATTTGGTGGCATCTCTCCCAACTCTACCTGCAGACACATGGGATTGAACCGGCAGACCTTATGCATGCAAGGCAAATGCTCTACCACTGAGCTACCCTCCTTCCCCTGAGAAGGGGACAAGTCTTGTGCATCCCAGCCAAGTTTTTAAAAGACATTTGAGCCACTAAGGGGGCTCTCTGGAGCTCTGTGTGTGTGTCTGCTTGGAGCTACCTTGCCACCAGGCTCGCTGTGTTTCAAGAGGACCATGTGAGAGCTCTTAGGAAGAGGGGAAGGTGCAACTGGGTGAAGCATGCAGCCAAATCCTAGGCCAGAGGTTGGGCAACCTGTGGCCACCCAGATGTTAGGCCGAAGCTCCCATGAGCCTCAGCCAGCCCACCCAGTTGTCAGGAGTTATGAGCGTTGTCGTCTCACAACTTCCAGAGCGCAGTCCCTTTCCCTAGGCTTTTACTGAGAAGAAAAGCCATCCTGAGCCCCACTTTTGCTTCCAAGTAAATGGGCACAGCCAGCTGGTCTGACTCTGAAACAGGCTCATTAGGGAGCAGAATCCCCTGATTTGCTCCAAGAGCGTATGAAGAAGTGAAGCAGAAGAATTGTGCAAAGGGTCCCCACAATAAAGGCAACATGGAGGGTAAGGATCCTGGAAAGGCCCGGCAGTAACTTCTACGCCCTGTTTCACCTTGTCCAAAGTCCCAGTGGCTGCACATCCTCCTTTAGAACAAAATTGCAGCCCAGTCCTCATAAATAAATTGCAGTTGAGTATATCAGTGGAGGTTTCACGCACGTAAGCATGTACAGGGTCCCACAGGCCATGTGTGCACCATATTGTACCTTTAAAGCACATTCTAAAGCACATTATTTCCTCCAAAGAATTCTGGGCACTGTGGTTCTTTAAATGTTGCTGGGAATTGCAACTCGGTGACGGGTAAGCTGCTTGTGCCTCCCCGAATATGAATTCCCCTTGTTGAAAATGGTAGTTTCCAAACTCCCAAGGCAACGTCCTTTCCCTCTTCCCAGCCCTCTTTGTCCAGTAGAGGTGAGCTCATAATAGGAGTCACCGGTCCAAAGATTTTGTCAGGTGTAGCAGGCTGCAGTCCTATACACATGACCAAACATTCTTGGGAGCAAGTCCTGTTGAATTCAGGGGGAATTTGTTCTGAATAGACCCCTATAGAATTGCACCGTTAACATACTAGAGCAAGGAAAACAAAGGCAGTGTGTACACATTACCGTTTATTCTGGTTCCAGCACAGTCCCATAGTGGCGGACACATGACATCTGCCATAGTCCATATCTATCTTCTAGTTCTTTGAGAAATGCTGCTGTTTGGGGCGTTTCCCCTCAAACCAGCTTCTGTCTGATTTGAAAACGTAAGTCTTGTGCACTTCACAGCTAACATGAGGTGTGGACATTTGAGGCAGCTGTTGCACATGCACACATGACAGCTTCGTTAATAGGAGTTCAGGGGAGTTACACACATGGGGAAATGGAATGGAACATACATCAGGTGATGGCATCCTTGTCTTCTCTGTGGTGTGTTCAGCCAATGTGCAAGGAACACAGTTGGGGGGGAACCTCACTGTGTTGTAAGCCACTGGTGTATACATAGCCAAAGACCCTGTCTTGCAGCACCTTAAAGATCAACACATTTATTGCACTGAAGTTCTGTGTCTTTATTTATTACATTACAAGATGACTCATAAAATAAATTCCCTCTGCTGTAGCTTCTGCTATAAATAAATACGTTAGTTTTTATGGGGCCATGTGGCTCTTTGTTCTTGTTCAATATATACAGCACCCATGCATGGAAAGACTAAGGATGGATTTATTTTCCCACAGCAAAGAGCAGTTCCCACCAAGCAGAATAAAAAAAATCCCACACGCGGTCATTTCAGAACCAATTAAAATCGAATCTGATGTTACACGTTGGTGCCCCTGAAGAGGTACAACAGCATCCCACAAATATCTCCTGTGATATGAGGTTCATAACCATTATTTATTGATTATCCCAATCGAGGCAAGCCAAGTTCACGGTGCTGACATGTGTTTTATATATAGATTAAAGTGTTCGGGCAGGGCTGGCTTAAGAAAATGTCACCCTGAGCAAGGCTTCTGCCTATCAGTAGCATTTATATGCAGGTCGTCATAATGTTGGGGGGGGGGTGGGGGGAATGGCCTTGGCTGTTTTACAGCTCCCAGTGCAGTAACTACATGTTATTATTTCCTGTTTATATCTTCAGCCTTTTTCATGGGCCACAAAGTTACATTTAGAGGCTTCTGTTAATCAAATTTGTTTTCAATGGTTTAATTTGTTCAAAATAATTTTGATGCAGTTCGGTAACTATGTAGCAGTTTTTGTCAATATATTGTGGTTGGGGTGGAAGGCCCAGTCCACAACATGCAGTGTGCTGGGCCCAGAAAAGCTTGTTGCACCCATAGCTCAGACTAAGCTGTGGCAGCAAGAGCCAAATTTCCCCCTCCCCACTGAAACCTGGCCTAAATGTTCATCTTTACATGGAAATTAGTACTGCAAATGCTAACATGCCACACCGGGTCCTAAGTCTCTGTCTTTCTTTTGGAAAGGGCCCTATAGCTCAGTGGCAGGACACATGCTTTGCATGCAGAAGTCCCAGATGCAATCCCTGGCATCTCCTGGTAGGGCTGGGAATGTCTCCAGGATGAAACTTTGGAGAGTCACTGTCAATCAGTATAGACAATACAGAACTAGATGCATCACTGATCCAATACATTACAAGGCAGCTTCCAGTGTTTCTGTGTTCTTTCTGCCTCCTTGAAACTTGTGGAAAAGGGGAGTTATTTGCACAACTTCGGTTGCAGGCCAAATTTGTAATGGCCTGCCATTTGAATTCAATTATTTCCTTGTCGCTTGTGTGCAGACATTTGTTTTGGTGACTCCAGACACAACCACAGAGTTGATTTCCGCCCAGCTATTTCTGCAGCTCTATTCAGGCGTTATGACGTTCACTGTCTGGGAGGTGTTTCGCTTCCCAGTTTCACTCCCACCACAGACTTCCTATATTGAGCAGGGCAGGAAGGTCAGAAGGAGAATTGTGAGCACATTCAGCTGAATACACTTACAAACATTGGGAGCACTGTGGAGTCAGGTTTCCCAAACAAGAGGAAGCTGTGGCATGCAGTCTGCGATGGTCCAGAGAGCGAGGCCTGCTTGGCAGTGTGTAAAACCTGGGCAAATCTGTATGGGAAACAAGAGCCCCTTCATGAAACTGACAAAATGATATGCAGTCTGGAGAGTTTATGCTACAACAAACCTGTTACATTGCAGTCACTCGTTGTCAAAATATAATATATAGATATATCTGGCAGTAACACTCTCGCAGCACAATCCTGTCTGTACTTTTTATCTGGGGGGTCAGTCTTACTGAATTAAGTGGCATTTATCTCTTGAGTAAAGATTGGATTAAGACTCAAGTCACACTTGCTTGAATGTGAAGTCCTATCAAACCTCTGAGTAAATATCCATAGGACTGGGCTGCGTAAGGACTGCAATCTCCTGTTATCGTGCGACCCGCTCAGGGAGAAGAATTGCTGTTACCTTTTGCATGCGCACCTTCCAGTTGTATTTCAAGTGTCAAGGTAGAAGGAACCCCCATTCAAGCATTCTCTCCCCTGCCCTCAGTTTGACATTTCCACGTTTTGAAGAGGAGGTGCTTTGTTCTCCTGCATGCCAAATAACGCTTAAGTGTTCGATTTGTTGCTGTTCCAGGTTCTCTCTTCTAAAACTCCCTTAATGCTTCTTTCTAGCACAACACACGACTTTTTATTTGGAGCCATCGCTGAACTGATTGACAATTCCCGGTAAATACTACTTTTAGGAACTAAATTTTATGCTGCTTACTGTACTTGGGGCTTGAGAGAGTGTGTCATGCTAGGCTGTGGAAATAGATGTGTTTTGTTCTGTTCTACTTGGCGCAAGAAGGCAGCTGTCAGATTTTAAATCTTTCTCAAATGTAGGAAATGGCTTTGGAATACTCCTTCCTTATTCAGTGTTGTATCCGAAAGCTTATTTCTCCTGCCGCACAAGTCTTTTCTTTGGATTTGGGCTTATCCACAGAATTGAACAACATTATCCTCTGTGGCCGGGATGGCCAACTACTGTTGCTTCTAGATGGGCTTAAAATCACAGGGGAGGTCATAACAAATGTGTAATTGGTAACAGGTGGTTCCTTTTATCAGAGGGCACTTCCAGGTGACCTGTTTATGTAGCTTTCTTCCTAATTGGTTTGTGGGGAGGTTAGATGACATTGACTGAAGCACGTGTTATTCCACACTGCCCAGTGCATTTTCCACATCATTTGCCCAGTGCAAAATTTCTGGAATTTTTTTGGGGAAGAGAGTTTGTTGCACAAGATGTCCCAATCAACTGCAGTAGTGCAACTTGAACTTCCTATTGTGTGATTGAATCCCACCCCAAAATAGCAATAGTCTGGATAGCATCCTGATTTTCCTTGGAAAGAGTAAATTTGGATTAAATACTTTTCTGACTTTTTGGTCGGAAGACGTTCTGTGGACACTGCAAAAAAAAAAAAAAGTGCATGTATGAACAACATTGATCCTGTGGGGAACACTCATCTGGAAGCACTTCAGCCTGGGAAGCTGGAGTCTTATTGGCCAAGGTGCTCACAGGGACAAGACTTCTGGAATTGTGGCATCATTGCACTCCCTCCAAGCAGCTTTACCAGGAAGCTTAGTCCCCTAGCAGATTGAGTCTTGAGCATGGGTAGGCAAACTAAGGCCCAGGGGCCGGATCCGGCCCAATTGCCTTCTAAATCCGGCCCACGGACGGTCCGGGAATCAGTGTGCTTTTACATGAGTAGAATGTGTCCTTTAAAATGCATCTCTGGGTTATTTGTGGGGCATAGGAATTCATTTTTATTTTTATTTTCAAAATATAGTCTGGCCCCCCACAAGGTCTGAGGGACAGTGGACTGGCCCCCTGCTAAAAAAGTTTGTTGACCCCTGGTCTTGAGGCTTGGTTAAAGTATTTGTTTCTTCCACCCTCTGAAAGTGGTTGGTTATTTCAAATCAATTTGTGAAATTCACCTTCTACTGCTTCCTCTCTGGGTTTGTTGCCTCCCTTGGGATTTCAAGCCCAGACAATCCTGTTATTGGATCACAGTTAGTATCTTCTCACTGGTAGTCTGGGATGGTATATTGATAATTTCAGGATGACTTGCATTCTACTGCTTTAACGCTTTCGTTTGGATCAGCTTCATATTTTACAACTTCATTCGAGACTGTTAGCTTTGCACAATATTCCTTCAGAAGTCTGATGTATAAAAAAAATTAAGTTATGTCCACTGATTTAGTTAAATTTATTTATATTCCCTTTTTCCTACATAGATACTGCATTGAAGTGAGTTGCTATTGCATTATATTTTTTTATTTGATTTTATATCTATACTGTCTTTCCTCCCCATTGAGAGCCCAAGGTGGCATACAATATAATTAAAACCACTGGTGCAGAATATGTACAGTAGCATTCAAGTGATTTCATATGATTTAAGTAAGTGCAGTTTTGATCAGAGTGTTTTTGTGTTTCCAGCTAGCATAGACACTGTTCAGTAACAGTGAATTTGCTTTACGAGCATCTACTTGTGCTAATGTTTTCATTTAAAACCTTTTTAACAATATTTAAACAATATTTCCAGAGATGCGGATGCCACCAGACTTGACATATATACAGGTAAGTTGTCTAAATGGGGGTCCTGTTTCTGAATGCTTTAGTTTGATCACATTATCTGTTTTGTTGAGAAGAAATTGCTTCATAAGATGGTGAGGATATATTTATTTAAACGCTGCTTTTCCATGACAGGGACCCAGGGTGGGTTACAGATAGAAAAAAGAATGGCTGAAAACATAGGGGGGAAACCCAGTTATGTAAAAACAATTAAACATTGATAGAATACACATAAAAATCTATTAAAACCATTCAAATAATTACAATATAAACAGCATAGCATTAAAATTTGCACATTTGCTTCTGTGCCAAAATGTACTATTTGGCAGATTCTACATGTCTCTGACATGAATATAATTTTGACCTTTTGGCATGATTTTCCTGCTGAAAAATATATGGGGGGGGGGATCTCAAACATTTTTGTCTTGTACGACAGTTAACCAGTTGACATAGTTAAAGGCCTAGTAGCGCCCATATAACTCTGTAAAGGAAACCCCTTTAAAAGAAATAAATTGTGACTCTGGCCTAATTCCATACATGCTAATTAATACGAATCCTCCCATGGCCATTGGCTTCGCTAATTGACATCATGGTCTGCTGTCCGTTAGCTCTATCTGAGGAAGTCCTTTTGCAGCCTGATCCCTTTGCAGCAAGTTAACTCGGAAATTTATCCTAGTTAGTTTAATGGGACTCGCTGCTTAGTAACCAGGCGTGCCCAGGATTACAATTATGCACTGCAATCTTGAGGACACTAAAAGCAGTCTCTGTTCAGTTCGTTCGAAATGCCTTCCGAAGAAATCTACGGGAGAGCAGTCTGCTAAACTTGGTCCGTTTGTTTAGGGGCCTTGAAATGACACCGCCAGCAGATGCGCTGCTTGCAAACTTAGACCAAAAGGTGGGGGAGATGTTTGTACTTTAAGAACAAAAGAATAATATGCTGGATCAGGCCAATGGCTCAGCATCCTGTTCTCATGGTGGCCGACTTGTGGGAACTGGACTTGAGCTCAACAGCACTCTTCCTCTCCTGCAGTTTCCTCAGCTGATATTCAGAGGCACAATCCCTCTGACAGGTGGAACAGCCATCATGGCTGGTAGTTGCTGATGGCCTTGTCCTCTAATCCTCTTTTAAAGCCAACAAATATCCTTTCGACTGAGAAGGTGAAGCAACGGTTGACCAACTTAGCGGGACTGGCAACGAAGTGTTGCAATGAAGAATGCCCCCTGTTCAAAGTTCCAGCCAGCTGGCCATGCTCCCTTCCAAGGAAATCATACAATTCTCCTCCCCACCCCCACTTTTTAACCACCTCTTCCCATCAACAGTGACTATTCCGTGCCCACGGAGGACTTTCGGTCCTCATTGGGCAACAGTTTGTTTATTTTCTTCCCATTACGGGAATTTTCTTTTTTGACCTAATGGTTGTTTGTTCTTCTACAAACCTTCTTACCAATGTATGGTTTCCAAATATTTATTAAGAGCTGTTTCCTTTCTTTCCATACTTTGTTTTGCAGTGAATAATGAGGACCTGCAAGGAGGATTTCTGCTGTGCCTTTTGGACAATGGATGTGGCATGACTCCTCGTGAGTTAATACTCCTGTATTCGTTTAACTGAGTGGTAGAGTGCTAGGACAGTGTCATTCTAGGGCTCAGGAGGCCCATATTCAAAGCCACACACAGCCACGAAACTCACTGGGCCACACGTACGCTCTTAGCCTACCTCACAGGATTGTTGTGTAAAATGTAAATGCAATAAACTCCAGTACTTGAACAATAGAATTGGAAGGGACCCCAAGGTTCATCTGGTCCAACTCCCTGTGATTCATATATGAAGACCCATACATGTGAAGGAACTAAGCCATGCAACTAACCTTGGTACCAGTTCTGTCCTCAAATGTCCAGACATTGGCAATGGACCCGATATGTGCCATATCGGGTCTCCTGCTGGTGTTATATATGCTGTTATTGGGTCAGAAATTCTTCAAATAAGTTTATATTAGTTCCAAAGAACTGTTTTCATTGGAGTATTTGTGTACAGGACAGCTCAAGAGAAACTACTAGCACTGAGCCAGAAATTTCTCCTGTGTTTTTTTCCCAACCGTTCTCCATCAGTTAACTTGGAAAGAAATTGCCTACAAAAATTATCCAAGCAGAGAATTTTGGTGAAATTCACATGAGTGGAGTGCAGGTTTTTTGATGCTTTCACCTTACTTCTAAGGTGGCTAGGGAGTTGTTTGTGAGTGCCCTTCCTTTCATTTTTCAATTCTCACCAGTGGCCTGCACTCTGTAGCCTTTCTGGGTGCTAGTGCTTTCATCAAAGCCAAAGGGAAGGTAGACATCATGAGACAACTCCTCTTGTGGTGAGGAGGTTTCAGGTCAGGAAGCATGGGCAGGGAGACTGCAGACCGCTGGAGATCTGTTTACTGGATGAGGAAGAAAACACCCATCACCCTTAACCGCCTCACACTAATAAGATAAGCTCAACCACAGTTCTAAAGAAATCATCAAGTGCCTGGGAAAGAGGCAGGGAAATGGAATCCTCTTTTTCAAGTGAAGAAAGTCTTGGAGAATCTGCAGGACAGATTTTGGGACGATCCTGAGGATGCGTTCACATGGGACTGGTTTGGCGCATCTTAAAATGGAACCAGTAGCCTCGTGCCAGAGCATGTTTTTCAAATGTAGAAGGTCACAGGTTCAGTCCTCAGCATCACCAAGCAGGGTGGTGGAGGAGGCACTCAAAGTCTTTCTTAAAGCTTAGCGGCAAAGACACAAGGGTGGAATGGAAGGCACTGAATTGGTCTGGGCTGTTAAACTCGGAAACGCAATCCTTATCTCTTCCGCCCCATGTTGTTTTCCCAATCATCCAGTTGGGAAAGCTTGTCAAAACAAACATATCTTTCCCCCCGGAAAGTACAGCTAGTGAGCACCTATTGTATCTTGACATGGAGGCTGATCCCGAACACAGAGGCCTGTTCTGAGTGGCCTTCTGATACTTTGAGGATGTCACCTATGGGGACTATAAGGGATAAGGCAGTCCTGTTCCTGAGCTGTATAGGGCCTTGTACATTAGTACCGAAGCCTTGAACTTGGGCTGGGACCAGATTGGCAGCCGGTGCAAACCTGCGAGCAAGTAGTCCCACAAGCAATGCAAAAAAAACCCATTCACCTCCCCTAAATAACTGCTTGTCGTTTTAGCTTTTCATATCTGCTCCAGGTGGAGATAGGTTTCCAAGTGGTGAAAGTCAATAAGCTCAATTCTCTTTTTGTTTGCCTGGTGGCTTCCTTTTGCCAGGAGTCAACTGTTTTCTCCCCCTCTGGTGTCGTTAAGTACAAACAGCTTAATCAGTAAGAAGGGATCATGGCTGCTTGGAGCTGGTGCCAAGGAGATAACACGACGTCTGCCTCCTGCAGCTTAGGTTAACCAGCGCCTGAAATAGACTGTTCCCAGAACGTGCGTCTCAGGGGTTCTGAGAATCCCCTCTGTGCCAAATTAATTCTTTGAAACTTGGCGTGCAAACTTCCAGCGCGAAAGGAAGAAGGGCGACTTTGTACCTGCAGTGGTGAGCAGCAGGTGGGGCTGGTTCGTTGCGTAAAAAGCCGCTTGAAGCAGCTGCAAACAAGGGTGGAGGTTGGTATTTTTAGCTGTGTGAGGATGAGGAGACGGTGGTTCTGTTTTCAGGCTTTGACAAACAGGTGCTCCAAGCTTGAGCTGAAAGTTTGAAAATTTTCTTTCCCTTTGATGGATGTGACGTTGTGTGCTGGTGTCTCCTTATTTATGCAGGCAACACTGTTAACAGGACTGAAAAACATCAGTCATATTAATAATAATTTATTATTTATACCTCGCCCATCTGGCTGGGTTTCCCCAGCCAGATGGGCAGCTTCCAACCAAATAATAAAAACAATACAGCGTCAGACATTAAAAACTTCCCTAAACTTCCCTAAACAGGGCCGCCTTCAGTTGTCTTTTAAAAGTAAAATAGTTGTTTATTGCCTTGACATCTGCTGAGAAGGCGTTCCACAGGGCAGGCACCACTATTGAGAAGGCCCTCTGCCTGGTTCCCTGTAACCTGGTTCGCTGGAGCTCAGTGTCCGGGCTGGATGATGGGGGTGGAGACACTCCTTCAGGTATACAGGACTGAGGCATCAGGAGGTTGTTTCTCTGTTCATCTTATTTCATTTATTATTTTCATTTACACCTTGCCTTTTCCCCTGAGAGGGACTCAAGGTAGCTTACAGCTAACACAGAAGCAGCTAAAAACATAGGGGGAAAGCCATCATTAAGTGGTAGGCAATTTTGTCTACTTTGGTTCCACCACAACCAGCAGCTTCTCCATCAGTGCTGAGCTGGATAAGCATATTGGAAAGGCAGATACAGCAGTGACTTGCCTCTCCAGAAGGTATGGGGAAATGCAATGCTAACAAGATGAAGGTCTACCAGGCTTTTGTGTTGAGCATGCTGCATTATGGAAATGAGTCGTGGGCAACTTACAACCACCAGTGCCTTCCACATGCTGTCAGGAAGTTTTTGGGTATCACATGGCAGGACAGGGTTTCAAAGATGTGCTCTCCCTAGCCCACATTCCCAGCATGTTCGCACTCCTGTCTCAACAACGTCTACACTGGCCTAGTCATGTCCACAGAATGGAAGATGGCAGGATCTCCAACATTTGTTCTCTTTATCTGGCGGTAGGAGAAGGAATATTAGTGCTGTGTACACACCATACGTTTAAAGCACATTGTTGTTGTTTAGTTGTTTAGTCGTGTCCGACTCTTCGTGACCCCATGGACCAGAGCACGCCAGGCACTTCTGTCATCCACTGTCTCCCACAGTTTGGTCAAACTCATGCTGGTAGCTTCGAGAACACCGTCCAACCATCTCGTCCTCTGTCGTCCCCTTCTCCTTGTGCCCTCCATCTTTCCCAGCATCAGGGTCTTTTTTCCAGGGAGTCTTCTCTTCTCATGAGGTGGCCAAAGTACTGGAGCCTCAGCTTCAAGATCTGTCCTTCCAGTGAGCACTCAGGGCTGATTTCCTTCAGAATGGAGAGGTTTGATCTTCTTGCAGTCCATGGGACTCTCAAGAGTCTCCTCCAGCACCATAATTCAAAAGCATCAATTCTTCGGCGATCAGCCTTCTCTATGGTCCAGCTCTCATTTCCATACATCACTACTGGGAAAACCATAGCTTTAACTATACGGATCTTTGTTGGCAAAGTGATGTCTCTGCTTTTTAAGATGCTGTCTAGGTTTGTCATTGCTTTTCTCCCAAGATTTCTCCCAAGATTCTTTGAGGGAAACTATGTGCTTTTCTCCAAAAGCACATAGCTTCCTCAAAGAATCCAGGAAACTGTGATTTACCCCCTACAGAACTACATTTCCTAGCACCCTTAAACACTATAGTTCCCAGTGTTTTTTGGCGGAAGGGAGGGGGAGTCCTTTGCTTTCAATGTATGGTGTGTACACAGTGCAAGAGTTTTCTTGTCGAAACACTGTGGAGCATTTCACACAAAAGATGCTTAAACTACTTCTGAATTTCCCACTCTTATTTATCAGATCACCACTGGTCTGCAGGTTAACATTTTTTCATCCTTCACCTGTACCACCCCATCATTCTGAAGCCTGAGAGAAACCACCACAGAGAGAGGGAGGCTAGCTGCCCTGTGGCAAAAAAATGAAATTCAACCATAGAACAAAAATCACAGAGGATCAGCAGCAAATCTCACAGCAATCATAGTCAGATAGTGCACATTTTAAAACCACATCCGTCGGCAGGAATAGGAGAAGCCACATCCGTCAAGGCCCCCTCAGCTGAAACAGCTGTATATTATAGATCCAGGAACTATCAGTCAAATTTATAACAGCTATTTCCCACACTGCACGCCATAGCAACCATTTTCACAAGTTCAAAAGGGTATAAAATGTATTCTTTACATCCGTTGAGAAAGGGACCACGTTCTCCCATCAAATTGTTACTGTAATGCAAACTATTAGCATTATTCAATTAATAGCATAGCATATTTGCACCTAAACCAGGCAGAGGGCCTTCTCGGTGGTAGCGCCCTCCCTGTGGAATGCCCTCCCATCGGATGTCAAGGAGATAAAGAACTGCATGATTTTTAGAAGATGTCAGAAGGCAGCCCTGTATCGGGAAGTTTTTAACATTTGACATTTGATTATGTTTTTATATTCTGCCAGAAGCCGCCCAGAGTGGCTGGGGAAACCCAGCCAAATGGGTGGGGTATAAATAATAAGATTACTACTAGTAATAATAAAAAGCCAGGGCCTTTTCAACTCTGGCTCCGGCCTGGTGGAACGCTCTGCCTCATGAGACCAGGGCCCTGCAGGATCTGATTTCTTTCCGCAGGGCCTGTAAGACAGAGTTGTTCCGCCTGGCCTTTGGCTTGGAGCCAATTTGATTCCCTCCCTCTCTTTCTTTTTTCTTTTCCTTCTCCTCCTGCGATGAGGCTACATTTTAATATTTTAATGTTCTTTTTAAGTTGTAATCATTCAACTTGTTTTTATTATTGCTTGTAAGCCACTCTGAGCCCGGCCTTGGCTGGGGAGGGCGGGGTATAAATAAATAAAAATTATGATGATGATTATTATTACTACTGCTACTACAACTACTACTAAACCACAACACACAGTTCGGATGTTACGTTTATCCACTGACAGCTATGCCATCCCTCCTTCTCCAGCAAGCTTTCCCTTGGGAGGTGAAGGAAGCCGTGACTGACTATTGCTAACAGCAGAGATCTTGTGCTGGAGGTTTAGTTGTTCAGAGGTATTCTTTGAACCCTAGAATTGTAGAGTTGGAAGAGACCTTGAGGGCCATTTAGCCCAACCCCCTGCAGTGCAGGCTTAGTATTGACACATACATTTATAAAATACATTGGTAGCGGTGAGCTATAAGAAACAAAGCTAAGAGCATTGAGGCGGCAGGTTGTGGTTTTGAATCTCACCTCTGCAACCAGCTTGATAGGCAGCCTTACGCAAGCTACAATCTGTCAGCCTCAGCTCACAGTGTGCAATTCCGGGGGCAAAAATACCAAAAGCTTGTAAAGCAGGAGTGGTGGACCTGTAGCCATCCAGAAGTTGCAGGATGGCACCTCCTCCCATTATCCCTGATGACAGGCCATGCTGGCTTGGGCTGACGGGACTCCAAAAACACTTGAAGGTCCACAAGCTCCACATTTCTGCTGTGGAGAATAAAGCAAGCTAATAAATGTGACGGACTTTGATCTGTAAATAACAATAACAGTGAATTCTAGTGAGGGCCCTAGAGGGAAGCCTTATTACAAATCTGTTGCAGGAAAAACTGTGGATCTTGTGCACTTCGGAAGATCCTCTAAGCGGGACAGGCCTGACATGATTGGATGCTATGGCAACGGGCTTAAATCGTAAGAGTTCTTTGTTCTTTGTTGGTTTTGTTTGTCAGACAGACACCCCTTTAATGGCAAGATTCAGAATTGTTAACTTTGTGCTGAATGAAAAACTGTTTCACGATCGTGACCGTAAAGGTGATTTGGCTTGCATTATATATTTAAGTATTGGGATCGAGGGAACCTGTTTATTTGTTCTTACAGTCTTGCATATTGGTTTTCATCAAAAAAAATGGCTTGATGTAAAGTGGTTTACATCAAGGGAAACATATGCATAAGAGTAGCAAAACAACCCCAACCCCAACCCCAGTAATAATACTACTATGATTGAAATTGTATCCCGTCTTTCCACCAGATGGTGCTCAAGGTCAGCACTTTGCATTGTAACCGGAAGCAGACTGGTTGCCATTGTGTCTGCTGTAACAAAGGAGTCACATGGTCCCAGTGACTGGCCCTCATCAATAATTTGTCTGCCACATTTACGTTTTATTGCAGTGTTTCCTAGACTTGGGTGTCCAGCTGTTTTCAGACTATAATTCCCATCATCCCTGACCACTGGTCTTGCTAGCTAGGGATGATGGGAGTTGTAGTCCAAAAACAGCTGGAGACCCACGTTTGGGAAGCACTGTTTTATTAGATACCTTAAACGTATTAGAAGGGAATGGATTGTCAATGTATTTCCTAGTCCTCCATAGTGCAGACAGGAAGTAAAGAGAAACCTCAGGCTCGCTAGCTGATGGGAAATCCCTTTCTGCCTTCAGCACACCCACTTTGTCTATATTACTGCCTATATTGCCCTAAAGGTGTTAACATCCAGACAATGCAGCTATTACAAAAATTGTATTTTCCTGTATCTTTACTATAGAGGATCCATGCGCATAGGGAAAGACTTAATATTATTCACCAAGGAAGAGAATACAATGACATGCCTCCTTTTGTCTCAGACGTTTTGTGAAACAGAAGGTCTCAGTGAGGTATGTCTGTCTTCTTCGTCATTTAAATATTTGTATCCTGCTCTGCCGATGATGTCATCAGGACTGGAATTTCTGGGGTGGGACTTCCTGGAATGGAACATCATTAATAAAACTCAAAATGCTGCTGGTATTTGATACGGGGTGTGCTATTCATACTACAGTGGTGCCCCGCAAGACGAACGCCTCGCAAGACGGAAAACCCGCTAGACGAAAGGGTTTTCCGTTTTGAGGCGCTCCATAAACAATTTCCCTATGGGCTTGCTTCGCAAGACGAAGCCCATAGGAAATCTCCGGGGACCTCTTTTAAATGCTAGCGGTGGGAGCAAAGCCTTCCCCCCCCCCTCCGGCCTTCAGAAGAGGTCCAGGAAGGCTGGCGGGGGCCGAAAGGCTTTGCTCCCCACCGCCAGCATTTTAAAAGCAGTCCGGGATAGCAGGGAAGCGCTTCCCGCTATCCCGGACGGCTTTGAAGGCAGGAGAGGTCCGCGAAGCCTGGGCGCGCTGATCTCAGCGCGCGCAGGCTTCGGCATGCCGGCAACTCTCCGCAAGCAGCGGCAGCGCTGCCGCTGCTCGCGGAGAGGTCCGCGAAGCCTGGGCGCGCTGATCTCAGCGCGCGCAGGCTTCGGCATGCCGGCAACTCTCCGCAAGCAGCGGCAGCGCTGCCGCTGCTCGCGGAGAGGTCCGCGAAGCCTGGGCGCGCTGATCTCAGCGCGCGCAGGCTTCGGCATGCCGGCAACTCTCCGCAAGCAGCGGCAGCGCTGCCGCTGCTCGCGGAGAGGTCCGCGAAGCCTGGGCGCGCTGATCTCAGCGCGCGCAGGCTTCGGCATGCCGGCAACTCTCCGCAAGCAGCGGCAGCGCTGCCGCTGCTCGCGGAGAGGTCCCGCGAGCCTGGGCGCGCTGATCTCAGCGCGCGCAGGCTTCGGCATGCCGGCAACTCTCCGCAAGCAGCGGCAGTGCTGCCGCTGCTTGCGGAGAGGTCCGCGAAGCCTTGGCTGGACAGCTTTTGAAGGCAGGTGGGGGGGGGACAAAGACTTTCGCCCCCCGCCAACCTTCAGAAGAGGTCCAGGACCTCTTCTGAAGGCTGGCGGGGGGCCAAAGTCTTTGTACCCCCAGCCAGCCTTCCCAGGGGCTTTTTAAATTCCCCGGCAAGCGGCGAAGTCCTCCGCAGTCCCGGGGCACTTTTAAATACCGCCCGCCAGCATTTTAAGATCGCCCGGACAGCGGAGAAGCCCTCCGCTGTCCCGGGGTTTTAAAATGCTGGGGGTGGGAAGAAAGCCCTTGCCCCCCAGCCTTCAGAAGAGGTCCGGGGACAGACTGTCCCCGGACCTGGTCTGAAGTCGGTTTCCCTAGGAACGCATTAATTGATTTTCAATGCATTCCTATGGGAAACCGTGCATCGCAAGACGAAAAACTCGCAAGAAGAAAAAACTTGCGGAACGAATTAATTTCGTCTTGCGAGGCACCACTGTACTATCAGCACCATCATCTTTGGCACTGGGAGTTAGAAAAGGAATCAAACAACACTGTCTCAAGTTACCTGTTCAGATGTGATAGGTGTGAGTGAAGGAGAATATCCCTGATTTGGGTCCACTCTCATTTTGTTTTCCTTTACAGGTTATAGTCCCAATTCTTTCATGGTCAAGTCATACAAGAGAGCCAATAATAGACAATCCAGAGACGTTTGCTATACAGTTGTCCATAATTTACAAATATTCACCTTTTAAGAATAATGCTGAACTGGTGAAGCAGTTTGATGCCATTTATGGAAAAACAGGTGACTTTATTATCCCTGAAAGTTCTAATTAACCAGTGCATTATAATTAGCATTTTGAGGACTAAACATGAGTGCCAGGGGTTTTGTTTTATGCTGGGTGCCCCCCTCCCCTGAATAATTTTGGATCTTTGTTCATCAGTTGGCTCCTCTCACATGAATGAGATACAAAAAAATTATTCTCTACCACCTCCCCCCCCCCCAGTAAAGGCAGCGTTCTCTTGACTCCATAAGAGCCCTACTAGACAAAAGATCCATCTCGTTCCACATTTTGTTCCCTCAGTAGCTAAGCAGATGACTACGAGAATCTCACAATCAGGACACGAGGGCAATGGCTCTCTCCAGTTCTTCCCAAGCCACTGGCATTCAGGGGCATGCCGTCTCTGATCTGATGATAGTACACAGCCACCAGGAGTATTAGCCCTTGATAGACTTGTCCGTTTGGAGAGTCCCCAAAACGATTTAATCCCACCTAGACTTATGACAAAGTATTGTTGCATGCCACCCCAATCCCTCAGTGCAAGATTTCAGGGGGTTCCAGGCGCTTACCAGGGTTTGTGTTTCTTTTGGAAATGAGGCACAGAAGAGACATCTGTAACCCGAGATACCACTGTATATACAACCTGAGCCTGTGATGGAAGGGCTCACAGCATCAGCACCCCAGGAGGGTCTTTCCAGCAGAAATCAGGCATGGCGCGCTCTCCCTTTCTCTCTGCCTTTCCAGTCTGTAGCTTTGCTTCTATCTCACATAACTCAACTCTCTTTTGTCTTTCTAAGTAACAGGCAGATGAGGGAGAGGGGCCCATCTCTTTGTCACTCCCTTTGTTACCTTATACCGTGGGATAAATGTGCTTCAAGTTAAGTATTTTCGGGTTGCACTCTGCAGCGACCCGGAAGTAACGGAGGGCGATACTTTTGGGTTTTGCCGCGGTCAAAATGACATCCCGCGCATGTGCGGAAGCGGCGAAACGCGACCCGCGCACTCACGGATGCGGATTGCGTTTGCTTCAGGATGCAAACAGGGCTCTGGAACGGATCCCGTTCGCATCCCTAGGTACCACTGTACAGTGGTACCTCAGGTTACATACGCTTCAGGTTACAGACTCCGCTAACACAGAAATAGTGCTTCAGGTTAAGAAGTTTGCTTCAGGATGAGAACAGAAATTGTGCTCCGGCAGCACGGCAGCCGCAGGAGGCCCCATTAGCTAAAGTGGTGCTTCAGGTTAAGAACAGTTTCAGGTTAAGAACGGAGCTCTGGAACGAATTAAGTACTTAACCCGAGGTACCACTGTACTCCCATATTTAGCAGGCTATTACCAGGCTGACTTGGCTATTCTAGGCATTAGAAAGGTCTCTGCCTACAACCTACTCCCCACCTCCCCAAACTCTTAACAGTATATTAATTTGGGGAGAGCGGGGAGTCTAATCTTGTTACTGGACCCCAGTTTGCTTAACTGCAATTATCCATTGTACTGTTGCTTCTCTTCTACTTTAATTGGCATAAGAATTATAAAACTGATATTTCAGTAATAGATTTTAACCTTCACATGTAGGAACCTTGCTGGTAATATACAATCTGAAACTCACACTCAGTTTTGAGCCAGAACTTGATATCCTAACAGATGAGGAGGATATGTTGCTTGCTGTGGCACCCGAGAAGTAAGTTCCATGGTCATTTTCTGATTTTATGTTATACTTTAATGCTGTGGACATTTTGTGAGTAGCTTAGAGACTCTTTATAGAGTAAGCAAACAATACGTTGAATGGACAAAGGGTATGAATAAAAATATATATTTGGAAGATGCTGCTTGCAAACAATCCATTTTGCTTGGACACTAGAAATCACAGAATGTGCTTACAATGTGTTGGTGAATGGAATTTAACACCTGCTTTAATTTTGTAAGGGTGTACTTCGAATCCCAAATTCTTCCATGTATTCCCCATGACAGACAAATTCTAATGGATTAGGAGCAGAAAGAGAGAGAATAGCAGTGCAAACCTATCTCTGTGTAAAAGGTAAAGGTAAAGGGACCCCTGACCATTAGGTCCAGTCGTGGCCGACTCTGGGGTTGTGGCGCTCATCTCGCTTTATTGGCCGAGGGAGCTGGCGTACAGCTTCCGGGTCGTGGCTAGCATGACTAAGCCACTTCTGGCAAACCAGAGCAGTGCATGGAAACGCTGTTTACCTTCCCGCTGGAGTAGTACCTATTTATCTACTTGCACTTTGACGTGCTTTCGAACTACTAGGTTGGCAGGAGCAGGGACCAAGCAACGGGAGCTCAGCCCGTTGCGGGGATTCGAACCGCCGACCTTCTGATAGGCAAACACGCGTCCCTCTGTGAGTAAATCCCATTGTGTTCAGTGGAGCTTACAGCCAGGAAAGTGTGCATGGGATTGCACCCTAAAAGAAGCTTCAAACAATGGATGTGATTCAGCTCACTGTTTGTGTGCACAGAGAGGGGGTGTTGATGCCTCTGTGCTTGCCAAGAAGGCCCAGTCAACTCGTGCCCCCTGGGTTCTCCAGTGGCTAGATGTAGGGTGGCCAGTGTAACATTCTGTTTGACTTGATGCTCTCTCTCTCCCCGCCCACATTCCTCAACCTGGTATGCATATTAAGGGACCTCAATCTTTATTGTACAAGCAATCCTTGATTTACACAGGGGTTACATTACGGATCCCTGCATGCACTCGCAGGGCTCATGTAAAACATTCTGTCCCGCCCCCATTCCACCCTTTTAGTGACGTTTTCAGGTCATTTCCGGGTTCTGCACCATGCGCGTAATCACTCATCAGTTGGATGTGCATAAATTGGTCATTGCCTGTATAACGCCTCCTAGGGAGCTGTGCTGGCGTGAAGATAGCACAAAGACATGGCTCTGTTTTTACCCAGGTGTAAGGTCATGCTTCCTATAGCAACACAGTGCAGGATTCAACATATCCACAAAGATCATGTGCTAATTCACAATAGTATTTGCTACATTTTAATTATATCCTGCTCTTCCTTGAGAAATACTAAAGCAGCTGACATGGGACTCCCGGCGAACCAATGAGCAGACCTTTATCTCTAGTTGGGTCTATTTAACTCGGTATTTAAATTCTTCCCCGGAAGGTGGGTAGAATCGCCAGCGTTAAAAGTTTTAGAAAGTTGGTTTAATTTCTCGCTGAAGAATTGTATTGCACCTTGAAAGGCTTCAAGAGCACTTAAGTGAGAACATGTTTTGGATTTGTTTGTTTTTTGTTGAAGTGGATTACGTGCCCAATTTCCTCTATCCACCAGAGTTCTCTCTTTGTGAGCCTAAAATTATTCTGCCTTAAACACTTTTCTGTGTCAGCCTTCCAGAACGACAGTCGCTGAGAGCCTACACAGCTATATTGTACTTAGACCCACGAATGAAGATATTCATTCAAGCCAAGGAAGTAAAAACCAAGCGTTTGCCACATTGCTTTTACAGACCCAGGTGAGCCAGCTTTTCCTAAGACTGTTATAAAGCCAGATATTTAAATTTCCAAAGCAGTGTGCTTGAAAGCATTAGCTGTTCTCTCTTTTTGGCCATGGAGAGAAATTGACTTTGATGGCGGAGCAATTTGTAATCTAAGCCAAGTTCAAATCACACTGGCAGGCTGGACTGCGGAAAAGGTAATCAGCTGTGACCAAACACTTTGACCCAGAACAAAGAACACTTTACATAAGATAATCACCGAACTGTGGGGAGGAGGGAGGTGTTGTTTGTTTTTCTGTGGATGTTTTCACTTGAGTGAAAGTTGCTCAGGCAGTTCTGTAAAGGTGCCACTAAATGATTATAGGCCACTTTTAGAGGTCCTTTTTTAATGGACTCCTAATCTTATAATGTGTAATATGCATTTGAAGTACGGTTTAACAAGCTGAATGAATGTTCTGATACAAGTTCCAGCATTGATAGGATCTGATCCAGTTCTAGCTGCGCTGAGTGATAGAGGGCCTATGAAGTGAGGAGGCAGGGATCTTAAATATACAGTTTAACAGTACAGTGGATGGAGCTTCATATTTGGCAAGTGTACTCATTCAGTTTTCAGATGACTGAGTCTTCTGTGAATTGAAAGGACTTTGTGATGACAAACACACAAGTGAATACCACCCCAAAAAAATTTAAAAATAAATTTACCAGATAAATTCTAACAGACGAACACCCGTCCTTGGGATAAAAGGAAATCCAAATGATGCCTCTGTCACCACGTAGATCATGGTTCTGAATCCTATATTGGTTGTGGATGGCACAACTGATTTTTTTGAGCATTTCATGCACTTTTGAGGCCTGTGCAAAGTCAGTTTACTGTAGGGCACAAGGACTGTGCATACCCTGTCCTCACCATTCCCATCTGCAAAATGGAAATAATAGGAGTCAACTTCATTGTGTTATTATAACAATTTGCCTTTCATATGGCATGTCAGATAACTTTTATCCATGACTGTGTTTTTCTTGTCTTCACAGGATGTATCCATACATATCATCTTCGTTCAAACACGTTGCTAGAAATGAACTGCAAAAGGCAGAAATGGATGTGAAAGCTGGTAGGCATTGTCCCCTAACCTTTATAGTTTTAATACTAAGTGCTCTCTAAGCGGTTGCTAGCATTGTTTGTAAAGGGATGCTTTTGTGCATCACTTCTAATTTTGCTTCGCAGCAAATAATTACTGGCATCTGTGGAGCAAATCTAGTTATGCATCTCTTTCCCCTTGCGGGATGACTTTTGCCGTTGCACTTGGGGGACCACCAGTTGAATAGGTACAACAACGGGTTTAGTACACAAAGAATGATGTAGGTATCACATTTTGGATAGCCGGGGGGGGGGGGGACGACTGGGTTGTATCCAGTGCCCACAACAGGCTTCCATTTTTGCAATTAAACTCATCCTCAAAATCTGCTCCAGAAAACCAAATACTGATGGAATTAAGCACTTCTGGGATTTGTGTTCAGAGAACAGGGAGGAGATAACTTGGACTACAGAATGCTAAAGTAAGTGGAATGGGGAAGGTGAAGGGAGCATCAGATGTCAATCAGATGTGGGATTTCTGTCATTTGGAAGAGGGTGGAGGATATCGGTGATGACTGCCTGCCTGCATTCATCATAGACTTTGAATTTGTTTTCATTGTTCCTCAGATAAAGAGACTATGGACTCAGCTATACAGCTGCAAATAAAACGCTTAAAGTGTGTTTTAATGTGACACTAGATGGCAATGGTGCGGTTTATGGAAAATTCAACATATTTTTTTAAAAACCCTTTAAAAAAAGCATTTTCAAAATGTTTTTATATGTGTGTAGATTCCACCTATGTCCCTGGTTAATCTTGGATAATCGTCAGTGAAGGTTTGAACATCTACCTGGAACCTGCACCTTCACTTTTAACTGTTAATAACTTGTTCGGCCTCCACTGTCGGAGGCAGCGTGCCTCTGAATGGGAGGGGTTTTCTAGGTAGCCCAACCCTCACCCTTGGAAGCGTTGCAAATTGCTGCAGGAGAGGGGCAATGAGCAACATCCCGGAAGGGGTGTTTCTAGGACGAAGGTGAAACTGTGAAGCTTCCTTGTTTATTTTTGCTATTGGATGCTGCATTTTGTTTAAGTACAGTGGTACCTCGGGTTACATACGCTTCAGGTTACATATGCTTCAGGTTACAGACTCTGCTAACCCAGAAAAAGTGCTTCAGGTTAAGAACTTTGCTTCAGGATGAGAACAGAAATCGTGCTCCGGCGGCGCGGCAGCAGCAGGAGGCCCCATTAGTTAAAGTGGTGCTTCAGGTTAAGAACAGTTTCAGTTTAAGAACGGACCTCCGCAACGAATTAAGTACTTAACCCGAGGTACCACTGTAATCATGTTATATTTATAGTATTGAAATGTGGCCTTTTTTGTATTTTACTATACTTGCTAAGTTATGAAATAGTTACTATGTTATGGTTTTGCAGTGTTGCTGTGAAATTGCTTTTGTAGTGTTTGTTTGAAATGCCTTCTGGTTTTCTTTCTGTTGAGCATGATTTTATTTTTTTATTTTGGCGGGAAAGCAGCGTACCAATAAAATGAATGAATGACTGCTAGTCGCTGGGAACCACAAGAGACGGGAGAGCGCTGTTGTGCTCAAGTCCTGTGTTTGGGTTTCCCAATAAGCATCTGGGTGACAACTTTGAGAACAGGACGCTGGGCTAGATAGGCTACTGGCCTGATCCTGCATGTTCTTAGAACTGTGACACCACAGCAAGTGCCGAGTACAAATATCGCTGCATGTTGAGGAAAATTGGTAGATAATTCCCTCATACTACTGGAATGCAAAAGTGGCGGATTTAAGAATTGCCCTGAGTAAAGCTGCATGGAGTTGCATTTGAAAAATAGTAATGTCATGAAATGAATGGGAAGATTTAAATTGCAAGTTTTGTACAGTCTCTGACACCTCTCCCCGCCCCCCTGCCCCACGCCACTTTTCACTTGGGCCTAGATGCCTTCAGAAGTTGACCCCGTTCTACAGACAGAGTCAGCAAATTTATTATGGCACATATGCTACTAAAGTTAAATTTATTACGGCGATATGCTAATAAAGTTAACAAATTTATTATGGCATATATGCTTTTTGTCCATTTATTCAGATGCATGAAGCATTATCTAAAGAGTTTTATGTACAGATGGCTGGGGGGATGAGAGGAGGGCATTGTAAACAGGGAGGTCAGAAAGGAAATAAAGTGCTCTTCCCCAAATGTGCTTAGGTTAGAGGGGAAGGCAAGTGTGTGCTCACCTGAGCTTGTTTAATGCCAAGGTGCCAAGCAGAGTTTTGCTTAATGGCGTGTTGCATTCTTCCTGTGTGTGGCAGATGGGGTTAGTTTCTCTCCTGCGTGGTTTAACAGGTGCCTTTGCTTATACTTATAGCTGAAGATGCTGTGAAAGAAGCCAAGTGCACGTTACAGCAGTCACAGGACTCCCTCTTCCAGGATAAACTTGAGGTATAGTAACAAGGATAAAAATGTTTGAGATATTTAGGGTGTGCTGTTATTTCCTCCCCCGCCCACCCAAAGCACACAGTCTTACCTGGGAAATCTCCAGGGGAAATGAATGAAAGCTGTGCAAGAACGTGAACACAACCACCTTTTAGGGGCAGACTTCGGTAACTATGGCCAAATCTAGGCTGGGAAAGTATATCTTCTGCCTCAGGGTTCCTGAGAATTAGGGGTTGGAGCGAGAAATGAAAGAAGCCGCAAAGGCTAGGCTCCTCGTAGTAAGAACCTGGCCAATCCAGAGTGTTCAAGCTTCCTACCTGTCGTAGGGGCTGATGTTGCAAAACCTTGTTCCTTTCTGGACCTGAAGAAGAGGGCTCTGATACACAGTCCATGATGTTGCTTGAAGATCCACCTTACCCTATGTGTGCTACTTCAGTCTGCAGAATGGGCACTTGGACATGCACCACCCAATGTTTGCACTTCTAAGGAATCAATCTCTTAGTGTTGCAGAGATCTGCATTCTGGAACTTCCAGCCTGTGGACATCAGGCAGGCTCCTTCACTGTTCTGTTTTTGGTTGCTGCTAAAAAAAAACACCCCACATTTTTGTTTTGGCAAACCTAACCAGATATGTAGAGTTGATGCACATTTTAATATGTACATATGTGTTATAATAGGGATGTGGGTGGCGCTGTGGGTTAAACCACAGAGCCTAGGACTTGCTGATCAGAAGGTCAGCGGTTCGAATCCCTGTGACGGGGTTAGCTCCCATTGCTCGGTCCCTGCTCCTGCCAACCTAGCAGTTCGAAAGCACGTCAAAGTGCAAGTAGATAAATAGGTACCACTCCGGCGGGAAGGTAAACGGCGTTTCCGTGTGCTGCTCTGGTTCGCCAGAAGCGGCTTAGTCATGCTGGCCACATGACCCAGAAGCTGTATGCCAGCTCCCTTAGCCAATAAAGCGAGATGAGTGCCACAACCCCAGAGTCGGCCACGACTGGACCTAATGGTCAGGGGTCCCTTTACCTTTACCTATGTGTTATAATGAATATTTTTAACTGCTGGTTTTATTTATATTTTGTGAATAACCTTACAAATGTTAAATAATTAATTTTTAAGGTTAATTTATTCTTAACTCTGACTTTTACTGATGCATTTTAATGCATAATTTATTTCATGTAAACCACTTCCAGGTTTTTAAAATTAAACAGAATCTCTAATACCGATCCACTGCATTTCACTGGCCTTGAGTAGGGTGATTTCCCAGTGAATTGTGTCTAAAGTCCGTGCTTTATTTCACAAGCCGCTTTTATTGGCCCACAACTGCCAGTGTAGAGTGTCAACTTTTTCCACATTTGGCTGTGTTACTTGGATAGACTTAAAAGATAATTGCTCAGAAATATAGGCCATGCACGGTGTTAATGCTAGGCTTTTGAAAGTTTTGCCTAGCATGACCTTTAAACAGTGGGGAAGATTTTCCAATCCTGTTAATTGCCTATTTACTATTGCTGAGGACTCTTAAAGTCGTTATTAAGCTGCATTGGCTTCAGATTCAATTATTTCCTAAAGAGTGTTTAGAAGGCACTTTCCACTTCAGAAGACTTTCAATGTGATAATTATGTAGACTAATTGCACCTGCGCAAATTATCATTTATATTCATAGGAACGTTCACTATTATACTAATCCCCATTATACTGATTTACAAGCCTTCCACAACTATCACTGTGATTAATGCTTTGAATGCACCACCTAAATATTTGCATGGTGTGAAAAGTGTGCTAGGTGCTGTACATAAATAAACGTGACACAGTCCAAGACAAGGCAATTGAACTACTTACTTTTAAGTCCTATTCAGATATCTGTTTCCACAAAGTCTCCATAATTTAACTACAGAACTCGTTCCCGCAGGAAGCAGTGGTAGGTGGCTTTAAAAGAGAATTAGACAAAATTCATGAAGGAGAAGGCTATTGATTTCTACTAACCTTATGACCCACCAGAGGTATGCACCCGCCTTGCGAGAACCTGAGAGAATGTTGTGGCACTTGACAGAAAATAAGGTTGTCGAACCCCGAAGGAACGCGATGGAGTTGTAATCCAAGAGTTTCCAATAAACAAGTATAACACAAAAAAGAATGCTTATATGTAGGATAAAGTGTGGTGTCGAGGGTCAGACTAGGATCTGGAAGTCCAGGATTAAGCAAGGGGGGGAACCACGTCCACCCCCTTGAGTTCCTATTCAAAAAGGGTGAGATGTAAATGAAACAGATAAATAACCTCTGGGAGGATCCTAGAATACAATATGTGCCCAGAGTAACTTATTCTACTGCTCTTTCCTTTCTGGTGATGGGGGTACTCAGCTCGCATTAACGGACGCAATGGAGAATGAAAAGAAAATGAGGGAAACATTGAAAGACAAGCAGAGGCAAGTTAAATGAGACTGTGGTTTACTTTTGGTGAAATGGTCATGCGAGAGAGGAAAGGGGAACGAGTGCAAAAGAAAAAGCCCTGCCTGCCTAAAATGACCAACTGTAGTTGAAGCATGGGCACCTGTGGGTGCTATGTATTCCTGGCATTATGTTTTCAGTTCTGTAGGCATTGAAACATTTCTGAGAGTTTACCCCCGTTGTTCAAACTTTACCTTGTAAAGAAAAAAGGACAGCCTCTTTCTAACACTGAAAGCCACTGTTCAATATGGCTACTATGAAAAATGGGGCTAACAGTCAGTGCTGAATCACTTGGGAAAACGTTTTTCAGCAAACCATGGTGTCAGGTGAAGGGTTTCCCTTTGCCCACGTGGTTTGAAATCAAACCACACAGGCAAAGGGACGTGGCTTTGTAGGCGCTGGCGATCAGGGAGTTGCAACTTTGCTTGCACCAGACCTGGTGTCACGTATGATGTCAGATGTGTGGCTTGGACAAAACTGCTCTACGTGCCAGATGGAGAGGCTTCCCAGGCCTCACTAGGCCCACAAGCTGGAGCATCCTCACTGCTGTTGTAAAGAAACAGGAAAAACAAAGGACCCTTGTATATTTCAAGCAGGATCACACCATTTGAAGCAGCCATGGCTTTCCCCAAAGACTGCTGAGAACTGTAGTTTGTTACAATTGCTGAGAGTTGTTAGGAGGCCTCTGTTCCCTTCCCAGAGCTACCATTCCCAGAGTTCTATGGGCAGATGGATTGATGTTAAATGACTCCGAGAATCTTAGCTCTGTGAGGGGAACAATTCTCAGCACCCTTAACGAACTACAGGTCTCAGGATTCGTTGCGGGAAGCCATGACAGTTTAAAGTGGTATGATACTGCTTTAAAGGTATAGTGCAGATGGGGCCGTCGTCTCAGTAGTGTGGTTTGTAGTTCTAATTGGAACACCAACCTAATGCAATTAAAACTTCTCCTGCATTTGAGGAGAATCATTGTGGAGTCATACAGTGAAACCTATCCATGCCTACTTCAGAATAATTAACCATGAGTTCAGTGGTGCTTGCTGAAGGCTCAGTAGAAATGTTGAAAATTGCTCATGAGCCATACTTCTAAAACATAGAATGAATATCTGTTTAATAATGGTGCATGGGTTAAACCTTTTTGCCACAGAGCAAAATCAGATTCTTTCCTAATTTATCACATCAAATTGGGTTAAATCCATAGTTATGTGCGCAATTTACTTGTGGAAGTCGGTAGCCTTCAAAATGAAGTTAAGTGCAATGGGAAAATCTTTTATAAAGTCTTGTTTGTTTTCTGTTTAGAAATCTGAAACAACCCAAAAAGCTCTTCTTAACATTTGGAGTCAACATTCTGAACAGAAGTCAATATGGCATGCTTATCTACAGCAATAAACGCTTGATCAAGATGTTTGAGAAAGTTGGACCACAGAAGAATAGAGGATCTTAGTAAGTTTTCTTCCTTTTTCAATGTTTTAGGGCCACCGTTCAGGGTTACTTGAAAATGCATTTCTGCTACATGCCGGTGGGCTTGCTCCAAAGTTTTCCTTAAAGATAGAAATATTCTCTGTGTCATTTTGAGTATTATTTCAGAGGTTAATGGGTGACTTTGGGATAGTTACTCTCTCCCAGACCAGCCTCCTGCACAGGGCTGTTGCAAGGATGAAATCAAGGTGGAGAGAAAACTCTATTCTCTGCTTTGAGTCCTTGGAGGGAAAGTGGTCCTGAGTTAAATCCATCATTTGAAGTTGGTGTTAGCATTGGGAGGAAATCCTCCTCGTTGGTTGGCAGTGATTTATAGCAACTTTAAGACTGTGACGTGAAAGGGTTGTCACACATTGCGTGAGAAACCGGTTGAAAAAATAATATGAGCCTTCTGGATTGGACGAAATGGCCTGTCTAGTAAAAACATCCTGTTCTCCCAGTTGGCCAACTATGGGAAACTTGAAAGCAGGACCTGAGCATCACAAAGGGGCATACTGCCTCTGACACCTGAAGCATAGCACAACCAATGAGTGCGTAACTGACTCATCCAGTCTGCTCTGCACAAAGACAGGACCACAGGTGTAAATGCCCTGCTGATCTCTCCGTACTGTGTCTGGAGCAGAGTCGTTTCCAGATTTGTGGCTGCATCCTGCCTCTTAATTCTGCAGTGGTGCCATCACAGCCAAAGGTGTATTCTCTTTTTTTTTTTATCTTGCCCTTTGAGCCATCTCTCCTGAGAAATCATACATATAGTCCAAACACAAGATGGGGAAAAGGAAGGCACCCCTTCCAAGGTGTCAGGCAAGCATCTCTGGGCAGGATACTGCACAGCTGAGGTGCCACCACGAAGAAGGACTTCTCCTCTGGAGCCACCACCCCATTTCACTTGGCAGGGATCCCTGAAGAAGATACTAAAATTCAGACAGGAATGTGCAAACTACCTTGCATGGTGGTTGTATGGCTAACTGAGACTGGCAAATAGTTTTACCTGCCCTGAACCTTTGTGATTTGTTTATTTATTGCATTTATTTATTTATTGCATTATATCCTGCATGGTGTTCTTGGTAGTGTAGATGGTTTCCTCCCCAACCCCGCCCCATTTAATCCTTCCAACAACCCTGTGACCCAGGTTAGGCTGAGAGGCAGTGACTGGCCCAAGGTCACCCTGTGAGCTTCATAGCTGAGCAGGGATTTGAACCTTAGTCTCTCAGGTCCTAGTCCAAATTTCTAACCACTACACCACATGGCAGTTTGGACTCACTATAAATCCAAATTAATTATTCTAAATCCTAAATGTTATAAGATTTTACCAATTGAACTTCAGCCACTGTATATTATTTTTTTAAAAGCTCAGTTTGTGGTGAAGCTACATCTAAAATCAGGCCCTGCCCACTGTGTAATCTAAAGTATGTTTTTACTATTGCAGTTTTGGTTCCGGAGCTGTAGGGATCGTGGATGTGCCGTGTGAAATCATGGAGCCAACGCACAACAAGCAGGCCTTTGCAAACACTAGGGAATATAACCGCTTGTTGAAGGCAATGGAAAACTGTCTTGTTCAGTATTGGAAAGACATAGGATTGAGTAAGTAGAGGGCCCCATGTGCAATGCCTTGCAGTAGTCTAAGCAGGAGGGTACCAAAGCGTACAACTAAGCAGCCCCATGCTGTCTCCATAAAATCCAGCCCTATATGTGCTGCTCTGTTCACTGAATAATTCACAGCATGGAGCCTCCACTTCATGACAGACCCTCCTTAATGGGGTGCGTGGTGACAGTTTTGAAAACAAGAGGGTCTTTGTGGTGAGCTCCTCTAAGCAAACAGCTTAGCGCAACAAAGTCATCCCTGTCCAGTCTAAATGGTCCCTGCACATCTGATTTGTCATATAGGGCAAAAGTTTTTAATAAATAAATAGTGGCTCTTTTGACTCTTTAAAAGGTCTTTCAGGGGCTACCTGAACAGTAATTGAGCTGTTAATGTATGAGTTTCAAGCATTAGGAGCCTTTGGGCAGTTACAATTCCAGCCTTAAAAGCACATTATGTGAACAACTGCCCTTAATGTATCAGAGTGGCTGAGTGACTAAGCTTGTGACTCATCCTTACACCAGTTCAGCCCTTTCTCTGCACCAAGATATGCAAAAGTTTGTTCGACTCGTAGTAGATAATGGGAGCCATTTATTTGCTACGCGCTCTGATTCCATGCCAGCTGCTGCCAGTAATGTAATAATGCTACAGAGTCAGAAGGCTTGGGGGTCCATGGAAGCATCACTCCAGGGCCAGATAAGGGGTGGCCATGGCATGGTTCCTTCCATGTGGTTTTCTTCTTCTTGTATTTCTAATATATTCTGCATTTTACGGAGAATGGCGTGGAATGGAGCAATGTCCCTCCTCTCAAAATGTGAGAATTAGATACTAGGGTCAGTTCCAGGTTTTTGTGGGCTTTGAGTGACAAGATGATCTGTGGGTTCCACCCCCTTACTTTTCTAAGTACACCCCTGGCTTCATGTTTCATCCCAACCTCTTTTCAGCCCATTCTTTCTCAGATAAGCTGACTCATTCCTTCATTACCTTGCCCAAAGGTGCATTTAAAAAAAAAGGAAGAACACACCAAGAGGATACAAAATGTGCATCTACTATGACTTTGATTACATGGTAGAGTCCATGCAAAAAGGAAAAACGCATGCAGCGATCCTTGCAAAATTTATATCAACACCCATTTAGGTTTTAGGTTCACAAAAGCACACACCAATTGTCTCAACGTGCATAGGAATCAGTTGAAAGGCTTGTCATAGGGTAGCCAAAGCAGTGGTGAAGGACAGAATGGTCAGTTTATGCTTTAAAATGGTCAACAGCTAGTCCTGGGTAGTTCAGAATGTTAAGTATTACATTCAGAACAGACCAGGAGACGCAGGAAGTTCAAGATCTAATGGAGAGGAATCCAGCCATTTTAGGATCCCGGTGGAGGGATAACAATTTTAATATAATGGCAGGAGAACCAAAACGTCTTGGGGCCGGGCCTGGCTTGCGTACTGCTAATGAGCCTCTCCAAACAGAAGAAACAAGGCATGGCAGCATGGGAACAAGGGGTGAATAGAAAAGAGATGGGAAACTGCAAGATATTTCTCACTAATAAAATCTGACAAGCAATTGCTGTTCACCTAGCAGAGAGGCTAGAAGAACAGGCAAACACGTTTGTGCATTCTTTTTGCAAAATCAGATCTGTGTGCATATGCAAATGCTTTTGATAACCTGCATTTTGGAATCTGAATGCGGTTGCTCTGATGCCCATTTAAAAATCTAGTTTTAATCATTAATATTTATGTGAATTCTGAATGTTTTAAATAATGTACCAAAGCTGCTTCTTTTCCCCCCTTCCCCGTCTTTGACTTTGCCTTCCAAATAGTTTGGATACTTTTCCTTGCTTAACTACAAAAGATCAGATGCACTCTCTCCAGTAGCTGAGTGTCAATAGCAATTATAGTCTCTCTCCCCCTCTCTGTGTGTGCTCTTGCTTTTATATATAAGAAAAATGCACAGGTAGTTGTGCAGCCTTAGGCAGGCAGCCAAAACAGGAGACGTGAAGCCTCTGGTAGATGAAATTCAGATTAGCGGGTCACAAAGTGTGTAGGACTATGATAAATGAAAGGCTAATGCTAATTGTGCCACTTGAAATCATGTCACTTTTTAAATCATTTTTATTACTGGCGTGGAGAAGCAATGCTCATAAAGGTGGGGTGGAGATATTTACCTGTTTCCTCTTAAGGGAATTATGATGATATTCAACCCTTCCCCCTCCTATTCACACTGCAGATAACTGCAGGAAAGAGATCAGTTAGCATCAGTTAGGACTCTCCTCCCACCCCACGCCTAACTGCAGTGTGTGTGTCTTTTCATTGCAAACATGGTAGATGTAGGGTTAATCCTTCCCATGTCCTGTGTTCCCAGTGAATATTAACCCTAGGCCTGTCATTAATTAAATAAAAATATACACCACGCTTGCAGTGTGATTACTGTCTCGTTAAACCAGTGGTTGTCAACAAGGACTACAACTTCCATTAGCCAGCGCAGTCAGTGGCGAAGGATGATGGGAGTTGTAGTCCCACAACATAGGGAGGGGGGTTCCACATTGGCTACTCCCGAGTTAAGCCCTAAGCTCCAGTCACAAAATTCACCTGAACCTCGCTGTCTTTCATAACCGTGTGCCAGGAAAGCTTGTTGATCTTCCCTTCTTCTACAGGGCTTTCCCGCTACTGAGTCCCATTCCTTTAGGTTATACTTCTATTCTTAGGGAAAGTGTCTCACTGTCTGGGGACCAGAGATGGCTGAGCGCTGGCCAGCCAGCAGTTCTCTTCTGGATGTAGCCATCAATGCTCTACATTGAAGTAAATAAGGCAGCCTTCTATAGAGCAACATCAGAGCAATCTGGCCTGGCACTCGTGATCATCCAGCCTATACCCATGCTATGTTGCAGTGCTTATCAGTGTGTTGTCTCACTGCTGACAATGATAATAAAAAAAAAATCATTCCAGTAGCGCCTTAGAGACCAACTAAGTTTGGTATTGGTATGAGCTTTCGTGTACATGCACACTTCAACAGAACATTGCAACGATTTGTCTCCCGAGGTCAAAAAGAAGAAGCCTTGTTCTGGAGCGATTTTGGGTATCTGAGTAACAACTGGTCTGATAAACCTTCAGAGAGCATCCAGTACAAGAGAAGGCGGGCCGTGGAAATCCCTGACATTGTTCAGTGTGGTGAGTTTCTACATTTGGACAAATAGGAAGACAAGGTAGGGGGAAGGTAGAACTCAGCGGGGTGAAAATGAGAGTTCTTTATTCTTTGACTTCAAATATGTTCGCTCGAGCATTCCTCTTCACAGATGCCGTGCACTGCTGTGTTTTTCACTTTCTTCTTCTTTGAAAGGATCCTCTTATAAACAACTCCTTTGTTTCACTTTTTGCTGCCGTTAAAAGCACACTGTGGGGCAGCTAATGTAACAGGTCTCCTTCATGTTTTGTGATAAAGGCTGCTGGCATATAACTTGAGTGGCTTTGTAGGCCTCTGTGTGGGATAAAGAAAACTGCAGGCACGTTGCAAGCTTTTTGTTTCTGTGGTTTAAAAAAGAACACACACACACATAAATCTACACATACACCTGTTTTTAAATTTTTCTCTGCATGAGGTTGTCGTTTTGGGGCGAGATGTAGGAGAGATGCACAAATAAAATAAGCTCAAAAAGACTAGGATGGACTTTGGGAAAGGCGTGTTTTAGGACTTGCACTGAGGATCTTGTGTGGGCTACCTGTTTGTCAAAGAAACATTTCTTTCAAGAGAAAATGCCATTGCTCAAATAGTTTTTATCTCATTTGTGACCAAAGTTGTCAGGGGGTTGAGAATTAAAGAGCAAAAATGCAGGCAATCAACCACAGTACCATATTAAATCAATTGTGCCATTACTGTTTGTAACCATTAATTTGGATTTAAATCTGTTAATTTCATTCATTAGATATTTGCCTCAAATGGAGACTCCTGTCATATGACACCACTATAAAACACAGAGGGCATCACGGCACCTGGAACTGCAGACAGAATCCTAACCCTCTCGAAAATAAGTAAGCTTTTACATTTCGCTTGAACCTACAGTCTGCAGATGTCAGCAGAGATCTCTCTTTTCTCACTACAGTGGTACCTCGGGTTACATACGCTTCAGGTTACAGACTCGGCTAAGCCAGAAATATTGCCTCAGGTTAAGAACTTTGCTTCAGGATGAGAACAGAAATCGGGCTCCGGCGGCGCAGCAGCAGCAGGAAGCCCCATTAGCTAAAGCGGTGCTTCAGGTTAAGAACAGTTTCAGGTTAAGAACGGACCTCCGGAACAAATTAAGTACTTAACCCGAGGTACCACTGTATTCATAGTATGAGGCAAGCTTCAAAATCATCTTGCCCAACAATCTCCTACATGTAGGAAATCCAGAACTACATTTATATATTTACACACACGTGCAAAAATGCATAACATGATATGAAAAAAGACGTAGTGCTGGCAAGTATTTTATATTTATACCAACTTTAGCATGTATCTTGGAAATAACTTTCTCCAAGACACCTCTAAGACACATGTCCACTTCTGTTTAATAAAATACAACATTGGAAATGTAATTCAATTTATCTTTTCTTAAATGTATATCCCAACTTTTCGCCAAAGAACTCAAGGGGGCAGACATACTTTCCCCCCAGTAGCTGCTCTCTCTGTTGAACCTGAGACCTCCTGTATGCAAGGCAGATGCTGGGCCACTGAGCTATGTGCCCGTCCTTGCCGATGCCATTTAGAGAGACGGCGCAGGCGAGAGAGACGTCTTTCTATTGAATTGCTAAAAGTCAATATTACTTACTAGGTGTGGTGTACCAGAATGTTTGCCCCGCGTCCCTTTGGGTACCTTCAACCCAACTCAGTCAAAGAATGACAAACAAAAGCTTGTCGTAGATGCCATTCGGCAACGTAAATGGAGGCTGGAAAATCTGGAACAGGTGAGCTGCTTCCTGAGATTTGTGCAAACGTCCATACACAAGTAACTCTGCAATGGCGTATGTTGCGTGCACCATTTTCAGCCCTGGAAGGGGGCAGAATGGGGGCAGGGTGGGCTTACGGACACAGTTTGTCAGAACGCAACCCCCATGCAAACAGGGAGTTGCCTGTGATTATATATGTTTCAATGTGGAATTGGATAATTGGAATTTAAGTTTTCCCCTTTTTATTGAGTTCACTTAGGGTTAGATGAAATTTCAAATAGTCAAACGTAAAGAGACATTGGGGGGGATTCTAGGCACAAAAACTAAGAGATGATTATGTGCCTGAGGTCCAAAATTCTTCTAATAATTTTCTCCTCTCTCCCCCACCCCCTTTTACACTGGAAATTATATATAATATAATAGTAGTAGCAGCAGCTGTGGAGCTCTTTTGAGTCTCTCTGTATTCCCAGCCCCTGAAAAAGAAAAAAAGAAAATTCTGAGAAATATTTCCAGAAAAGTATTTTCTGCAGTCCCAAGTCTTAAGTTTGTTCAAAGGACACAGTTGCATTTATATTATAAGATCATTGCTTCTGTTTATAAGAATTATGAATAGATTAAAATGCCTGCTTGTAAATTCCTCTGTTCTTACCTTACAGAAACTTCACTTGATACAACCCCATACAATTGTCCAGCCTACAGCTGACAGCAAAACTCATAAGGATGTGAGTAACTTGGATTGCAGTCCTATGCTTGTGAATAAGTATCACTAAGATCAGTGGAACTGCCTTCTGAAGAGACATGGCTGTGATTGGGCTGTAAACCATTTATTTTGGCATGCTATTGTTATTAAGAATTTGTGTAGCACTCATTAGGTTAGATCCAATGGGTTGTTGTTTTTTCTGCACTCGGAGGTCTTCTTATTCAAGAAACATTCTTTTATACCTAACCTACAAAGAAGGAGAGGGACACCCAACCTAAAGATGTCCAGCTATTTCAGCAAGAGCTGGAGCAAGCAGGAACATGAGAATTGCTATGGGTCAGCCTTCCCCAACCTGGTGCTCTTGAAATATTTCAACTCAATCAACCTCAGGATACAGAGCAACCTCTGTACCAACGTGGTGGGTTCTAGTATTTACACCAGCACAGTTCAGGTATTCAGCCTCACACCACTATAATCACATGGGGCAGGAGAGTCTCCGTGCATTGGTGGCATGTTTGTGGTGGGGCAGCCTCCTGAATGCATGTCATCTGCCCATGAGTTGCAACCCTGGCTGCCTGGACCCAGCCCCACAATATTGGAGATGGCATTGGGCCCATCAAGAGGCCCATGGCTCGAGGAAGACTGCTCACCTGGCAGTCAAAGGCCTTTTGCTTCCAGAGGTCAACTCAGGCCCTCCAGATGCTGTGGGAATACAAGTCCCACAAGAGGGAAGGTCTCAGCAAGATTTTACAGCAAGCCTCTGGTGTAGCTGTAGGGAAGGTTGGAGACCTGTGCTGGGAATGAGTAGCTTACAACAGCCTTGCAATGCAGTTAATCATGTAGGCCAGCTGTTTGGATTCCCATTCAAAAATCGGCATACCTCTCAGACTGTGGAAAGGTCAATTTACCCAAATTGTCCCTTCAAATGCATGTGGATGTTTCATGGCCCATTGACTTCCATGCAGATTGGTTCTACAAATGTTCAAAAATTAAAGAAAGAAAGAAATGGACATGAAATAAGACCCAAGTAAGAGCAAAGATTCCTGTCTTTGATGCTTATATTTATGCATTTAACCCTTTCAGTCATGGGCTTAGGTAACACCAGGGATGCACTGCAACAATTTGTTGTAGGGCCCCACTTCTATTTCCTGGTTTCTGGTCTGTTATGTGGCCTTTAGGGGAGAGATGGAAGGAAAAAAGGAGGGAGAAAAAGACAGTAATATGTGTATATGTATGCTCATATATTCTTCACTCCATCACTGTATATCTAGACTCTAAAGGTTCATGATCTGTTCTTCCAGCCTTGTAAAACAACAGGTACTCACCCAATATGAACTGCTATGAAAGCGACTCAGCAAAATAATTTGGCAAATAATCTGATCTTTAGGATCAGTAACATCAGTAGTCTTTAGATTTGTCCTCAATCAAGTAATAGTTTCTATTCTGTCATGAATCTAACCAATGGAACAATTCTATCCAAGCTTGAAAAAGTGATGCCAGTTTCTCTTTCAAATGCCCAGAAGATGCTGTGCGAGAGAAAAGCTTTTCATAAAGATCCACATCCAGCCTGCAGACGTTTGATTAAGAGTAGTACAAATAAAAGACGCACACAGCACTCGAGCCATCAAAAGGAGCCACCTGCAAAGCAAATGACTTGCCCTCAAAGGAGACAGCATCCTTGTCAGGAAGAAAAATGTTCCCTTTCAGCGGAGGAGGAGGAGAAGGATCATGATATATCAGAGGTACAGGCATATGGCAACATGTGTTGAAAACAATCAGTAGGCCTCACAATATTCGATGTGCTTCATAATTCTTATTCTCCCTTGAGTGATTCATTTCCCCCTATTAATTTGTTGCTTAAATGAACAGGCACATCCACATGGGGTAAAATTGGGCTGGGGTGTTGTTTTTTTTAATGCAGTCAAGAGTCACAGAAAGAATAGAACAGAATATAGAGATTAGAGAACAGGTTTGCAACTTCAGAGAAAAGAGGAGGCAGGGCATTGGGAGGGGGTTGTTTGGTATTCTGATCAAGCCATTGGGCTAGTTGACACATACACACATTCATGTCTAGATTACTGTGACCTTCCAGTGGTCAGTTGTGTGTGTGAATGGCCATGACATGTCAAACAGTGCCACGAGTCCTCTCCCATCCTTCATGTGCCATGCTTTTCAGTGGCATCAGTTCACACATTCAGCTTCCAGTCATCAGGTGTACATTAATCAGGTGTAGAGAAATCAGGTGGTGCACCTGCATGTGTGAACCAGCTCTTTTTCTTTTTACTAGCGCATTCAGACTATTTCCCAGATATTTGTGCAACATTATTATTATTATTATTGCTTATCATCATTACATTAATGGGCAGGTAGCTTGATTCTGTGTCAGAGGTCACATTCCACTTGCAGCCATCTAGCTACCGTGGCAATAGACTCCGTCACAGTCATTGTTAATCATGGCGCTCCAGCACTGTTTAAATTAGTAAGCTATCTTGGGAAAGGCGGGTTCTTTTATTTATGTAGCAAACACTTATGTCGTTGTCGTTGAGCTATAATTAATTGCCCTAATTGTTCTCATTCTAATGCAGGTGTCACCTATTGAAACACAAGATGAAAAGCCATGTAATGAAAAGCTTGAGTTCAGCAAAACTGAAGCGGATAGCAAGCAAGAAATCATTTGCGTAAGAGCCCATTGGTTACTTCCTTGTGCAAATCAGACTGGATTCTGAGGTTTAGGCTACACGTGGAGGAAGTTGCATGCTTTCAGAACCAGATCTGCTCCAGTCATGTACAGTGGTACCTCGGGTTAAGTACTTAATTCGTTCTGAAGGTCCGTACTTAACCTGAAACTGTTCTTAACCTGAAGCACCACTTTAGCTAATGGGGCCTCCTGCTGCTGCCATGCCGCCGGAGCACAATTTCTGTTCTCATCCTGAAGCAAAGTTCTTAACCTGAAGCACTATTTCTGGGTTCGCGGAGTCTGTAACCTGAAGCATATGTAACCTGAAGCGTATGTAACCCGAGGTACCACTGTATAAAGAGGATAGAATAGGTATCCACACTGCTCAACCCTTCTTCTGCCATGCCTTGCCTCTCACAGTCTGGTTCCAATATCGAAAGCTGGGTTAGCCTGAGAGAAAAGTGTTGGAGGGAGCAGGGGAAACTTTTGCTCTTTATTGGGGCACACCTAGGGTTAAAGAAACAACTTGGTTACATGCAGCTTGAGACAGGCTTACTTTGAAATCCACATTACCTACATCTGTTAGGTGATGGCTGCTTCTAAAACATATATATTGAACAGGTGGCAAGAGTGAAACATTTCCTTTTAAAATAAAAAATAAAAAAATGCCCTTGCCTGTTTTTCTGATACTGACAACAAAAAGCAATTTTTATTGCAGAAAACGTAGCATAGATGGCGACTGAATTACTTAAAAGTCCCTAATACTCAGCTGGCTGCTTTGAGCACTCTAAGCCTCTCCTTTGAAATACTCCTTGCTTTAATTACTTGTGGCTCATCTGCTCAGCTGTTTGGTTTGTCTAGAAATATGTACTGCTTCCTCTGACAAAGAAAAAAGCAGTCGACAAACTGTATTATGCAGGTATAATTAGCACACATTTGAAAGAGTTCGCTATCCTGAGTTAATTATGTTCCTGCCACTTATTGTAAATAGCAGGTGGTCGACCCAAAACAAAAAGAATGTCAGCAAGTGAGATTACACTTAACATATGTCAAGTCTTATGTTTACAATTACTTTGGGATGCTGCGGTGCTGGCAAGTAGCATAATGAGAAACATCAGAAAATTAAGGCAATGGCTTCCAGAAAACAATGCAAAACAAACATCTTTAAATTACTTAAGATTATTTATGCCATTGAGGGCCCTATAAAGGGCAGTAACAAAAGGTTGAAACCAATTTTGCTGGGCTCCCCAAAGAGAGAACTTGAAATGTAGATACGATGGAAAATCTTTTGTTGACTTTTGTACATGATGTGACTCAGGAAATATTATTTGATATTTAATTGAAGAACTCTCCCTACAAGAATAATTATTAATCGATCCATATCAAATTAGGGGTGTATGTATAGGGGTGTTAGGGGAGGGGTAGTACCTCTGATGGGGGACACGTTGTGCTCCCTCTGGGGTAGCTGGTCCACCTTTGGTCTCCACCATGCAATCAGCTCTCACCTGTGGCTCCCAGAAGCTGTCATCATGTGACAGAGGCCACATGCCAGGAAAAGGCTTTGATTGGTCGGCTAAACCCAGCAAGGGTAGCCAATGGGTTTTAAGCCCTCATTGAATTAGGGACTTCCTCTGCATGCGAAGACAGGCTCCAGTGGATTGAGTGGACAAGACCCATGGTGGGTCGAATGGTCAAGAAAGTGGTTTCTGCACATGCTGCAGAGGGAAATAAGGAGAAGATGGGGTTCATTAACCTAGGAAGGTAGGAGAACTCTGATCCTAAATCTCTGCTGCCTTGCAGGATATCTTTGGAAGAAGAAAAGGCTAAGGGGTACACCCTAGTCAAGTCTGAAGTCCCCAAGATGGTTGGATGGCGCTTTGTACGTCTCCTTCCAACAACTCCTGCAGCCAAGCTGGTGCCAAACATATGCTCTGCTTTTCTTTGGAGCATATCAGTGAGGCTGAGAGGTGGGGTCTTGTCATTTGGGCAGCTCAGGACCTCCATACAGTCTTGTGTGTATGGAGCTTTGCTCCTGGTCAAACTGCAGTTGCTTTAGCAACTGATATTGCATCGCAGGAAAAGATTCTGAAAGTTGCTGGGTGGGGTGCAGACAGATGGAAGTTAGCTAGGAACAATGTACTGAACACCACAACAAGAATTATTTTAAGCAGGTGGAAATGTGCAGAATAATCTCTTTTCTTCTAATTATTGTGTTGGGCCGATCTAGCAGCCTCTTCCTATGTTCTTATAGTCAGATGCAAGTGAAGTTGTACAGCAGAGTCAGTAAGGTACTGGTTAAAAAGGAGACAGAGATTACTACAAGTTTAGCTACCAAGTTGAAATTAAAATTCCAATGGGGTTCCCAGTGCCAAAGATCCATGTATTTCTAAATATTTTGAGAAAAGACCTCTTCATAATCAAAATGTTACATTGCAGATTATACTATCTGACAGTGACACCGAAGTTACGCCAGAAGATGAAGACGTTATTTTCCTGTACAAAGGTAAAAGCAGTCATATTTTTGTCAGTGGGGTATCTATTTTCATGTTTCTAAAATACGTCATAGCCAGTATCTCCACTTACATAATGCTTTAAAGGTGAATTAAAGACAGTGCTGTGCTTGAGGACTCATAACCACAGATGGTAAGGGAATAGCATCATGGTTGCTGCCATTGGTATGTGGCCAAGGTCGGAAGAGGTATTTGTGTTTGTGGTGCCAGGCACTGTGAAAAGATCTTTGACGCAGGCTGAAAATGTCACTGGTTTTGTGTCTGCACAGCCACCTAGAGATTTCTGCACTACACCAGTGTTACACCAATGTGCCTTTATTGTTGGCAGTCAGTTGTTCAGAATGCGCTTGCAAGGACTGCAAAATTGTTTTACATGACTTCTAGAAAAATCCAATCATGTTTGTCAGACTTGACCTACATGTTCATTTCTAGCCGGATTTGAAATTACTGGAAACCCAACTCATGAACCAACTCATACTTGAATGAACTCCAGCCCCATTAACATTTAGCCAAGCACATTTCAGGAACCTCACTGCAACTTGCATGGGGCTCCTGCATCCAGACTTGCTCACTCAGTTAAAGCTAACTTGCGTGCTATTTCTTCTGATATTTTTAATTCACTTAGAAGAAAAACAGGAAGAGTGTGATGAAAAGGGAGGCAGTGCATTCAGCCCAAATAATTGTTTTGATTTTGAGAAAAAAACTTTGCCACCAGCGAACTTGGAAAGGTAAGTGTACCAGGATCCTCACTGGATAAGGTTTTGAGTTCTAATTTACTTACAGTGTATACATCACAAAAAAGGTAAAGGGTAAAGGGACCCCTGACCATTAGGTCCAGTCGTGACCGACTCTGGGGTTGCGGCGCTCATCTCGCTTTACTAGCCAAGGGAGCCGGCGTACAGCTTCTGGGTCATGTAGCCAGCATGACTAAGCCGCTTCTGGCGAATCAGAGCAGCGCACGGAAACGCCATTTACCTTCCCGCCGGAGCAGTACCTATTTATCTGCTTGCACTTTGACGTGCTTTCGAACTGCTAGGTTGGCAGGAGCAGGGACCGAGCAACAGGAGCTCACCCCGTCGCGGGGATTCGAACCGCCGACCTTCTGATCGGCAAGTCCTAGGCTCTGTGGTTTAACCCACAGCACCACCCTATACATCACAATAGGGAATAGAAATAATGTAAATATGGGCAGACATGAAAAGAGCCAGGATAGTTTAAGCCCTGCTGTAGAGACTTAGGACTCAGCTACACAGCTGCAAATAAAACATTTTAAGTGTGTTTTAAGTGCAATATGCAATGTGACACTAGATGGTCGATGGTGAGCCTTATAGAAAATTCAATGTATTTTTAAAAATGCTTTTTTAAAAAAGCATTTTCAGAACGGTTTTTATATGCGTGTAGATTCCACCTTAAACACTGTGAATAGGGAGGGGTGGGAGCTGGAACATGGTGGGTGCCAGAGAGCCCAGAAGTTCCCAGTTTTAATCCTATTGTCTTTGGGTAGGGTTGGGGAAAACTGCTGCCAGAAATCTGGGAGAGATACTGCCAATGGTAGATAGGCCAATAGTTTGAGTAATAATAATTTTATTACAGTGGTACCTCAGGTTACATATGCTTAAGGTTACAGACTCCGCTAACCCAGAAACAGTACCTCAGGTTAAGAACTTTGCTTCAGGATGAGAACAGAAATCGTGCAGTGGCAGCGCAGTGGCAGCAGGAGGCCCCATTAGCTAAAGTGGTGCTTCAGGTTAAGAACAGTTTCAGGTTAAGAACGGACCTCCGGAACAAATTAAGTACTTAACCCGAGGTACCACTGTATTTAGACCTTGCCCATCTGGCTGGGTTGCCCCAGCCAGTCTTGAAATAAGGCGGACAACATTCCTGTTGGCTAGACTCATCCATCTAGCTAAGTATTGTCTACTCTCAATGGCAGCATCTCTCCATGTTCTCAACCAAACCTTTCTAATCCTATTTAACTGAGATGGCATGCCAGGAATTCAGTATGCAAAGCCTGTGTTCTACCCCACAGCTATGGTTCTTTCCCTGTTTGGGAGGAGGGGTATGGTCCTTGAACTGATCTTTGTGGTATGTCTGTTCAGTGACTCCATGGAGACTTCAGAAGACGACAGCAAAGAGCAAGCTCTTGTTGCTGAGCAGGAGTCTAATGATGCAGTTTCGCACACATGTGGGGATCCCCAGAGCATTTCTGAAAACAAAATGGTAGAAACCTTGACAGCTCGCATCAAGTAAGTATTCCTAAAGGTACAGTCTTGCAGCCAAATGTGATGTCCTTGTATCCTAACAAGGACCTTTTTGAGGCCTAATTTCATGCTAAATATGAATCAAGAAGGCAACTGAGTGATGGGCCTATTGGACTGTGAAATACTTAATGAATATACACTACTGTGTGGAATTGACATTGAAATGGTCCTCCAGGGACCAGTTTAAGGCATAGATTATATGGTCAACAAGAACTACAGCTTGTATGGATTCTTAAAAATATTTTTAATAACTCTGTTAAGGCTTTCAACGTTATTATTTTTTGCAGACAAGTAATTCCATCAAGATCCTTACTTTAAAAAAAAATACTCAGTTGATAATAATCTAGCATTATGGCTAGATAAACAATGAACCCAATTTTTGAAAGTGTGCATTTGCACTCAAGACCAAATTACGCATTATATGAAATACTCTCAGAAATGTGGTTAGGTCCTCTTTTTTAGCAAAGCACAGCTATGTTGGGGAGGGGGTAGTCAAGATCATGGAACAATTGCAGTTTTGCTGCTTTTCCGTGCATCATTTTCTATCCAAACACCTCATTTCAGGAACAAAGGGCAGCTTCTGCTACGCTTGGTGAGAAAACAGTATGGGAGGAAAGTGTTAAAAATTCCCCACGCATTGGAGTCAGCCTTTTTAACCTATGATGGAAGGATCTGTTTTGGTATGTTGCAATTGTTGTCTTTTCCAGAGAGATCCTGCTATATTTTTTACCCAAATGCAATCTTACAAGAGAACATCTTTCTTCTATGACCCCTGAAGACATTTTATCTATGTTCAAGGTGAGTGGACATTTGAATTATATAAAAATTGTGGGAATGTGCTGGAACTATTTGTACTTAGTCTAACGAGAACAAGGGCGCTTAACCGCTCAGATTTCAGGTATGCAGTGCAGGTTGTTCCGAGTATGTTGTTTAGGGGCTATAATGTTGGAGTTGCTCTCTCATTTGTTCAGCTTCAGGACACTTGCTCCGATTTTGCATTTTCTTCGGCATTTGGAACTACTTCTGTTTCTTAATTCCAACTTGGAAAACAAGATATGATGTTGATAAGAAGATGAAGGAGCCAAGTGGGGGCAAGCCAACACTGTTGGGCTCCCACACCCACCCACTTTCCACGCAGAGCATCCAGTGCTCCTGCCCCAGTCAATCATTTCCTGATGGGGCAGTGTGGGAAAGAGCACTGGATGTCTCAAGCTGGATGAAATTCTGCTGTGGGGCACAGGTCCCGCGCTACTGCTTTGCATCTTACCGCACAAAATTTTCACCCTTATTGCCATTTTCTAAGTCTAGGCATTTTGTTTCCTTTATGCCAATAGCTGAAGAGAGATTCTGAGCGGAATAAGGCTGTGCCTGTGGACATAATTCAGGTAAAAGCTATTTAATACGACCAATTCACATTCTCTGAAATGATTTTCTATTGGATCAGTCATAGGCATGTGAGATTTATGAAGAGAAATGCAACGCATGGGAGGCTGGCATCTTCAATGAACGTCTAAAAAGAACAGTCTTTGTTGCATACAATTAACAAACAAACAAAAACCCTTGCAGTTTAATTTGTGTTAAGGGTTTTTTTCCTTGTTCACTCAAGCTCTAAATTGCCAGGAAGTGATAACTGCTGAGGGTTATGCCCTTAACAGGTGTGTTAGTTAGGCAATGTTGATATGGTATGGACTCCTATCCTGCGGTTAATTCCAGTTTCACCACCAATTTGGATCTTGGTGGCTGAGGGGTGCACCTTTCTGTCTGTTCCCTGGAATAGATGCATGGAGACGATGCAACTGAAGCTACCAGTCCACAGTACAACTACCCTACTGGCAACCATCTACATAAAATTATTACCTGTGGTGTAAACAGAAAAAGGTCTCTTGCAATCCTTTTGGAATTGCCCCCTTTCCTCTTCCCACCAAACCTATTCAGCACCATCCTCCATCTTTGGCCATGTGCTTTCTTTAAAGACCATAAATAATGTACCTCTATGCTTGTATAAGAGGGATGTGGGTGGCGCTGTGGGTTAAACCACAGAGCCTAGGAGTTGCCAATCGGAAGGTCGGTGGTTCGAATCCCCGCAATGGAGTGAGCTCCCATTGCTCGGTTCCTGCTCCTGCCAACCTAGCAGTTCGAAAGCATGTCAAAGTGCAAGTAGATAAATAGGTACCGCTCCGGCGGGAAGATAAACGGCATTTCCGTGTGCTGCTCTGGTTCGCCAGAAGCGGCTTAGTCATGCTGGCCACATGACCCAGAAGCTGTACGCCGACTCCCTTGGCCAATAAAGTGAGATGAGCGCCGCAACCCCAGAGTCGGCCACAACTGGACCTAATGGTCAGGGGTCCCTTTACCTTTATGCTTGTATAAAGTGCCACTCAGCCACCACTAAGCAACTCCCCCTGCATTTCCATATGCTTATAATTTCAAGAGCAGAGCTCTCATCCCGAAGGGGATGGCAGAGCTATTGACAAATGAATGACTCTCTCACCGCCCTGGGCAGTATTCTGAGACCGGAATGGACGATACATTTACCACATGGATATATCTTGGGGCTTCATTTTGATTAGTTGGGTGAACAAATTGTATATTAGAGTGTAAGAAGGGAAATTGCACTAAAATTTCAAGGGTATCAATATTTGTTACAGTATTTTTCGCAATATGATGAACAACTTTTTGAAAAACTCCTGTCTATAAAGCAGCATGGGCTTCTAGCCAAACATGCCGCCGACAAAAAGATTAGTCTGTGCGGGAAGCAAATAAAAGCAACAGAAGAACGAATTAAGCATCTGCAGGAGAAAGTAGCACAATTGCTACTGAGAATCCATCCAGTAAGTGCTGACAGTTTATTCCAGTGCTTGATTTGATTAACTGGTTTTGCTACATTTGAGAAAATAGGATGCATTCTAATATTTCTAACATGGCCACAATATGGACAGAGAAATGCTATAGGTCACTTGTGGTGGTAGAAGATTTACTGTCAGAGCCGCCATTTCATCCATTAAGCGGTGTGTGCCAGTCACGAGATTCAACTTGAATCTATATCTGTATCTTTGAAAAGCAGCCATTCTTGCCACCTTGCCAGTTCAATGCATTGTTGGGGACCGAATCAGATCCGTTAAAAACAAAGCTCCCTCCCCCTTTCATTCACTATAACAGGGAATCTAAAAATGGCTACTCCCCCCCCTTCCTTCTCACAGAAATTTGCAAGCATAGCAGACCTTCCGGAGTGGATTAATGTTGCCAATTGGTGGACAGACCCATGTGAAAAACAAATGTGGTTTTTAATTGATCCTCCGAGCCACTGCAATTACAGTACCATAGGAAAACGATTCACCACAGCTAGAAGCTTGTCAAGATGAAAGAGATCTGCCCCCGTCCCAGCAGCACATGGTGTGGCTGGGCTGTACCACATGCCTGACGCACTGTCAGGAGCACCAGTTTAGCTCCATTTGCGCCTTGCTGCTACTGCCCCCTCTCCCTATCTCAGAGTGTTGCAGCAACTCAGCTGAACAGAGGTCACGCCCCCTCCATTCTGTCCCCACCTCACCTCTTACTACCCTCTTGAGGTGTTTCCCCAAAAACTTGGTTTTATTTCGGGGGGGGGGGGACAGCTGTGAATTTTTTGGACAGGTGATTCCAATAGGCAATTTCGTAACTCGGGGAGTCCATGATCCAACTTGAGATGCCTTGTTAACTGAGCAGTCCAATGCAGAAACCCCTTATCCCTGTAAATCGGGATACACAGAGAATGCACGTCCCCAGAATCCATAGCTTTGGCCTTTGACAGTTGAAGGAGGGGGAGAGAGAGAGAGAGAGACCAACCCTGTTATTGTGGTTACAATTTGTTTTAAACAGTTTCCAATTTTGTATTTTAAAATGTTCTCACCAGTCCTGTTTTTCTAGCAAAAGTGGTGCTGGAACTCACCATGAATGCCTCCCTTGTCCTCTTAGAATGGAAAGGGTGCCCACCTGAGAGGTGCCAGAACTGAGTTCAGTTGTGTTCCAGCTGAATAAAAGCTGGAACCCATCATGGGACCTTATGGCGAAGGGCAGGTGATAAAAATCAAATTAACGCTAATAATATCCATAATTTTCTTCCAGTCCTCCTCTAATCATTAGTGTTAGAAATTCTCTTTAACACTAACTACTTAACTGATTTCACCCTTTGTCCATTTGTCTTGTTTATAATCATTTTATCTCCATGAGAAGATAATCTTGTTGGAAATGAGATTATGTGGTTATATTTACAGAAATTTTATAAAGCTGTGATGCTGAGACCCAAACCGCAAGTTACACTAAAACACAAGTTCATGGGGGCATGTGAAATGGTCATTGACTGTAGCCCAGCAGCCCTGCCAGGGAAGAAACAAAGATTTCTTATCACTGGAGGGATGACCAGGGAGAGGCCCTTTCCCCAGCTACCATTTACTCCCTCCAAATCATCTCCCCCCCCCCATAGCTTTTCCTCCCAGGCACCTTCCAATTTGTCTTTTCCATTACTTACAGTTGCCTGTATTGTGTAGTTTGGGCCTAAGGAGCTGACTGACTGCTTATTCTGGTTAGCTTTCCGTGGAGCCTATTAATGTTATAATAATGTCTCTCTTTGCTGCATTCTGTTTCAGCATCTTCAAATAGATAACCAGGAAGACTTTGACAGCATCCTAGAAAAGCTTCTGAAGGAAGACAGACGTGAGAGCATTGGTCCCTGTGAATAGTTAACACCACAAAATTAAGCTGAACTTTCTTTGTTCCATGAAGAAATTGGGAAGGGTCTTAGCACTTGATAACGTATGGCCAAAAATATAAATAGATAGCAAACAAGCCACGCAGGACACAATCTTCCTTGAAACCTTAAATATTACAGCAGAGCTTGTAGAGGAAATGATATGGATGGTGTCATCCTAAGTATGTTTTGTTCTTTGCCTACCATATTTTGGTGATGTTGCATCCAGGCCTACTTGCACTGCTGCTGTGCAGTTTCTCTTCATTTCAGTGGAACACGCCACACAAATGTGTGGACACGGTTCAGCCAAATGGGTCCTTGTGAATATTATGTGGGGGACACACACTCTGAAACATTTGTTGTTGCTTTAAAAGTGATTTCTGTTTGTTTGGAAATAATAACCTCACTAAACATAATATGCTAACTTGTATCAATGTAAATAGTGGGCATTTTGGGGGTTTGTTCCCCCCTCCCAACAGGGATTAAAGCTTTTCATTTCAACGTATTCATGATACAAATCACCTTGCATAATAAAGGAAGATAATTTGCAGTTTGCTCAACTTGCCAAGTGTTACAGATTGAAGTTAATTGATGTGTATTTATACAACTTGAAACATTTAATCCATGGGAATTAGTTTGAGTGCTTTCCTCCTGCAATAACAGATGCAGATTTGGATGTTAACCTAATATATATTTTTTATTGCAAGCAAAATGATTCTTAGGATGAGGTCCTTTTGGATGCTGCACCCGATTCCCTATGCTCTCGTGCTAAGCATTGAAGTTATGTAATTTTGAAGTTGCAGGGTAGGTGTGCATGAATCAGTACCGATGCACCAAGATCAGGAGTTGCAGCAAATACTTCCCTGCCATGCTGGGCACATTCTGATGCATTCAGAATGCTAATGACGAACATACTGGTGCTTTCTTAGATGCATTATGCCTCTGAATGCCAGTGGCTGGGAATCACAAACAGGAAGAGGGCTGATGTGCTGAGCTTCTGTATTTTAGCATCCCATAGGCATCTGGTTGGCCATCATGTGAACAAGACTCTGGACTAGATGCGCCATTGGCATCTCTAGCGGTGTTTGTGTGTGTGTGTACATACCTGTGTGTCTGTGTGTGTGCGTACCTACACAAAAACACACACCAAGAAAAGACACACATAGAGTATAAATTGAAATTCATCAAAATGCCACTGTCTAGTGATAACATACAGTCATCTTGCAACTCAGATCTCATTCTCAATGACATCAAACCAGAATTGCTCCTGCTGTCTATTTCACCTGCTCTCTGCCATAGTATTTGAGGCTATTCATCTGTTTTTAATCTCTTTTATAGGCTTACAGTCTGTTTAAACCGCATGGCTCATGCTACAGCATGAAGTTTACGAAAGGATCCTGAGGTCACACTCTCAGAAAGGCACCTTCCCTTTTTTAAACTCATAACTTTTACTTCCCAGTGAGGAACTATAAGAGGGATGCCTTGATGCCTAATTCTGAGGAGACAATTTTGCCTGTATCTCCATTTTAATACTTAACCCCACTTAGGGAAATATAAGGAAGAATTACATCCATTTTCTATCACAGGTCGATGGTGTCACCAGAAAAAAAAGCAACTGACATTAATGTATACCATAGAGACTTAAAGTAAACCATTTGGGGCACCCAAATTCCATGTGTGCCTGCCTCAGCTGTCTTAGAGAATCATAAATGTTGCTTCAAGTTTTGTATTTTATCACTTTTTAATCTATCCATTATTTAAGTATGTTGATCTGGCCTTTTCTGCCAAAGGCACTTGAGGGTAGTTGACAGTGGACCCTTTATGATTTAATGCCTGCCCCCACCCCACCAGTCATATAAACAGCAGAACAGTCCAGTAGCAAAATAGCAAAAAGAAAAACCTGATACAGCAGTTGGAGAGCAATGCCGTTCACACCCAGAGAACTCCAAACAGCTGCTGAAACAGCACCACCCTTGCTTGGCATTGGAAAACCAACATAAAGTAAGGGGGGGGGAGAGAGAGAGAGAAAATAAACTTATTCTAAGAGGAATTCTGAACCCTTAGTGCCACTGTTGAAAATGTGTGGGTCATCTCCCACCTTCAAATGGTGAGGACACCTGAAGCCACTGGGATCTTAGAGGCAGGGAACTTTCCTATAGCAGGAGTCTTTTATATATGCATCTTTAGTGGGGAAGTATGACTTTTAAAGTACATTATGTACTTAACTTCACAGTAATGTGGTGACAAGGAAAATGTAACCCGCGGTAAACTCTTGATCTTCTGATGCACTCTTGTTATGCTGCTTTGCCCTGTCTTCATGATAACAATCTAAACCAGAGGTGGGAAACCCTTGGCCCTCCAGATGTTGCTGAGACATCTCCCATCAGCTTGGCCATGCTGGCTGTAGCTGATGGGAGTTGTCCAATAACATCTGGACAGGCCAAAGGTTTCCCACTCGTGATCTAAACGGTAAAGGCAAAACACATAAGGAGCAACTTTCAGATGGGTAGCCTAGTTATAGGTGCCATATACATTCATGGACTTGATTCCATTTGTTCGTGAAATCTTATGCCATAATAAGTAGGTTAGTCTTTTAAGAGGCTGCAAAACGGTTGTTTGTTTACACATCAGAGAGGAGAGAAAAGGAAAATATAATAAAGGGAATGAAGTCTGAACTGGGGAAAGCCAGAATAAACAGCTGTCAATTGGCATAATAGCATGTCCTAAACATGGAAGTTTGATACTGCCCTTGTCACCAAGGAAGCAAGTCAGTGTGAGCAAGTTGTTACCCTGCCAAGTTCATGCAATTCAACAGCAAGGTCTAATAGTTTTTTAAGAAAGGGCTCCTCCCGATAACCTGTTGATTCAACATTCATCCTGATTTGCTTGTACAAAGATTACAGCATGGTTAGATTATGTCTAGTCTTTGTTGAGCATTTGTTCCTATTTGTTCACCAGGCAGTGATGTGACCATGAGCATTCATTCTTTTTTTCATCCTGTATGCATGGGGTATTTACAGCTCTTCCCGTTAATCATTTGTTCATCGCACGCTTTTCAATGCATTTCCCAGTTACCTTCCAAACATGCAAAAAATTCCTGGGAAGTGGGACAACACAGCTTTCAAACCCACTTCAAATGCACAAACTTAGCACTCCAGTCTGCATTTGATGCACTCTTGCAAATTATTGCCAGTCTGGAGGTATCCAAAAGAGGTCAGTTTAGTTAATTTTGTACATTTATATACTGCCCTTCAGCCAAATAGTTCACAGAGTTTGGTTGGTTGGTTTCCAACAAGATAATATAATAACAATGAAAGCGTTGTAATTAAACATAAAAAGTAATAAGGCTTACAAAATAATTTTTTTAAGACCACAAGAAAATTCAGAACGTTAAAGACTAGGAGAACAGAAAAGTAATTGCGCCACCAAAGAGATAGCAAAGTCCTGGAAGAGACCCTCTAAGGCAGCGGTTCTCAAGCTGTGAGTCCCCAGATGTTGTACTACCACTCCCATCATCCCTGAGCTCTAGCCTTGCTAGCTAGGGGTGATGGGAGTTGTAGTTCAATAACATCTGGGGACCCACAGGTTGAGAAAGGCTGCTCTAAGGTAAGAATACCCTCTAAGAAAACTTTTCCCCCAATTGCCGCTTATATCAAAGCCTGGTAGAAACAGCTTTGGAAGGTGCATCAAAGGTCCTACCCCTACCAATGCAGGATATTTAAAACACAACAATTCAGCAACATCTGCACACACACCGAAGACAGCTGGGATCACTGTACAATGCACTGTACAAATAAATACACAGAGACATCGTACAGCTTTATTCTGGTTGAGGAGAGACTGCCACCCACTGAGAAAACCTTTCTGTATTTAAACTGGGTACTGAAGGTAATCTGTCTAGGAAGTTATATATACATAGCCTATTTCTGCAGTAAGCTGTAAAGAGGTTTACGGTAGCTCGTTCCTTATATGACATGTTGGTATTTGAATGGTAGCTATAAGCAAAGCAATTGCCACTGGGCAGTGAAATCACTTGGATGAAAATATACTAAAAAAATCAAACGAGGATACTTGGAATGTTGGACATTATGGGTGCCAATGGGTCTGCGGATGACATCGATGCTCTGGAAATTCACCACTGGTACACAAAGTTTATGAGGGAATGCCCCTCTGGACAGCTCTGTCTACACGAATTTAAATCAGTGTTGGGTCTACAAGGACTCACTCCAGAAGCCAATAAGTATGTTGAGCAAGTCTTTCATACTTTTGATATGAATAAGGTAAGGTATAATTATCTTCTACATTTGCATTGTTCTCGCTGTTAGTACTTTGGCTATAAAAACCACCTTTAAACAACTTTGAATACGCTTCGAAATGTATCTCGGCATCATACCGTTTCACTGAATGCAATGCTTAGAAATGAAAGAAATGCCAATTTATAGCCCATGTTCTTTTGAAAATCCAACTTCTTACTTGACAATTGCATTTCTGTGGCTCCCTGGGGAATATGCTAGACATCAAGTACTTTCTAATCAAATCATTTAAACTCTGTTCAGTCATTCCTAGGAAACATTCCCATGTGATAGAGAATGGATGTGGCTTATCATGGAATGTAAAAGTGGTGTTGGGTTTTTCTTCTGGAATTTTGCACCATGGTGTTGAATGATACATTTATTAGATAGCAAACGAAAATCAGTTGTTATTAGTGACTGGTGCACTTAGAATACACAGTAGTTTTCCAATTTTGTCTTAGTTTTTCAGCCAACGGTTCTATTGTTCCATTTTAAAGTCGATAAATTGAGGCAAAAGGGTAGGGATTTGCCTCGACGATACCCAATTAATTGTTGGCCTAATGTGGATTTGAACCCAAAGCTATCTAGCCTGTATTTGAAAGTCAGTGTGGTGGATGGAGTGTTGGGCTAAGACTTGTGAGACACAGGTTCAAATATCCACTCAGCTGGGAAGCTCACCAGAGTACTCATCATTCCCTTTCCATCGAACTTAGTTCCCGGTGTTGTCAGGATAAAAAGAGGAAATCACTCCACACTCCCTGGAAGGAGGATGGGATAAAAATAGTGTAACTTTTAGTGGATTGATCAATAAACATTAAAGGTTTCATGAAAATCATACATGCTTTTCCAGTAAAAACAGACTAGCAATGCTTCAGACATTGCAATCTTTATGTGTGCCCCCAGCATGTATTCCATAGCGACAGAGATACATCACATGCATATCTCATATACACCATTGGCATGATCCAGTCCCCGCTTTGTGTCCTTCCAAAGCCGCCTGGGATATGCTACTGCTGCTTTGTGTGTTCCCTGCTACGAGGCCCACCCCTTTGCCTCAGATGTCTTCCCACAAGCAAAGCTCTCCAATCACAGAGGGATGCTGATGGGAAAGGAGGAGGAGGCCTGGAAACTTCTTTGCAAAACATGATGAGAGGGGAGATGGAAAGAATGCAAAGGGAACCTGAATTGTGCCCAGTGTGTCCACACTGCAGGCAGCTGCAATGGACTCCAGTTCCCTGTGACATGTACGCATAGTGTTTAAAA